ATTCAATCAATTCAATTCAATCAATTCAATTCAATCAATTCAATTCAATCAATTCAATTCAATCAATTCAATTCAATCAATTCAATTCAATCAATTCAATTCAATGAATCACTTCTCTTTCAGTAAACTCGGCCGTTTGGGTCGAAGCGAAGAGGGATCATCGATAAAAGAAAGCCGGAGTATGATCAGGTTTCTTTGATTACTTTGATTTCCTCAAAAGCATTCGATAGCTCTTGAGAATTTTTCATAGCCTATCTATTACCAAGTTTAAATATAAGTTTTGTTCTATAAAAAGAGCTCATTCTTTTTCTTTTTGGATAGATTTTCTTTGATGAACCTATTGACTTTAATGAGCCATTTTAAGCCAGAAACGAAATCAGAAAACCAGAAACGTTTGCTTGGTATTTTAAACCAAAATTCCCTGGGTCAGAGCCATAGCCAGGTTCTGGGGATTTCTGGCATTTTTGAATCAAGATCAATAGTAAGCCTAACTTCAAGTCAGATTATGGCCTAGGCCATGAGATTGAGCAAAGCTGATCCTAGCCAAGTTCAGCACAGCATATAGTGACCGGGAAATCATTCCCAACTACTCAAAGCTAATTCCACATGTTTCACTTCATCTAAAAATCCGCCTTTTTCTTACCCATTTCCCCCTATCTGTTTGTGTACTCATCGAGCTTTTGCCTTCTCCTTTTCCCCCATTTTTTTTCAGTCTTTTCCCAAATAAAACACCCATTTTTATTCCCACGAACGGCAGCTTTTCGATTGAATTTCTTCTATATTCTTTTTGTAAATCTCTCAAAAATTTCTATATAGTTGTAAAGAATGCGGTTTTTTCAATGCTTTCGGTGAGAGGTTTAAAATTTACAATAAATGAACTGTCTTTTGAGTGAAACTAAAGCCAAAATCAAGCCAAGACAAAGCCAATAGCTTTCAATTGGCCTAAAACCTTGACTTTTGCCTGGCTTGGCCTGGAAATTTGGCTTTTTTTTTGCTTTTTTTGACAATTCTAGTTAAAAGGCTATATTTTACCTGAAAAAGTTTAGTGTTTTCGTAATCCTTGCAATCCTTTAATCCTTAGAACTTTCAAAGTGTACTGCAGGAAAACCTCATTGAGAAACGATTCCATAACAGAGTGTCCCCATGGGGAAAGCTCAGACAGAAAGCAAGGGGGAGAGGCTGGATTGGAATCAAGAGAATGCCAAGAGGTCTCCTTTTATCTTTCTCTCATTTTCCCCCTTTTTCTATCCAGAAGACACTCCGGATGACAAATGACGAGCCGGGGATTTGTCAACCATTTTCCTTGTCTTTCTCTCCTCCTGCAGCTCCACTTCTCCATTTTCTTTCCAGCTTTCATTCATTCACCCTTCTTCATTCTTTTACATGAACTTTATCGGAAACTTCTCTTCCCGAGCCCCTTCTTTCTTCTAAATACCCATTGATCTTCTCCCCTCCTCATTGGAAAGACATTCATTTCCCATCCCTTCTCCAGAACTCTAAAGTTTTCTGTTTTTTAAGCGAAATAGGAAAGGTGCATTTTTTGCTTTGCTACACTACTGGACAATGAAATATCATATTCGAAAAAAGATCGTCACTTTCGCGCGTCTGTAACTCCCTTGTCTTTACCGTATTTCTAAATATTAATATTACCATTGTGTAGCCCTTGAAAAGAGCTTTCAGAAAATGTATAACACTAATAGTTTAAACTCAAAGACAAGAAAGCTACAGACGTGCGAACGTGACGATCGTTTTTCAAATATGATATTTCATTGTCCAGTACTGTATATCTATGCAAATTTAGCTTGGAGATTGACCTAGAGTAAAGATTAGCTCAAATTTTCACTACAGTAGACTAGATAGCTTTCAAATTGTTTAACAGAACCCTTGACTTCACTGCTTGATACTTTTAGCTCTGCTGAATACTTTCACTATATTGTAGAACCAATTCTGAAAGTTTACTCTATGAAAGTGAGATATAGCATTGAAATTTGCACCTTACAGCTGTAGATTTAGTATTGAAAAAAAAAGTCCAAAGCTTTTCTAATACATAATTCCAGTTAGAAACATAAGATTTCAGTATGCGTGGTGCTCCGCGTCGAGGTGAGAGTGAATCGAGCTACAAAATGGCGAAAAGTCACTCGATGGAAGCATCCAGCTCGAAAGATTCAAAGGTTTGTAACTCTTCAAAATCAAAAAACTTTTTTTTCCACTATGCATAACAAGGAAATCAAATCATGTCCGATATCATAAGAAGAAATTTTTCCAGTTACGGATGCCGTCGAAAATCGGGGTTTTGCGAAAAAGCGCCTCCAGGGAAATCGAAGAAGAAAAGAGGGGAAAAGATGAGGAGAATGGAGGAGAGGATTCGTCGATGGAAACAGAGGAAAATATAAGAAAAAGTGTGGCCATTGTGAGGGCAACGTATAGACAAGCACATACAAGCATCGTGCTCAGGGATCCCACATCCACCACCTCTACCATTTTGGCTGTTGAGGTAATCTTAAAGCAGTTTTGGTTCTTGTTTTCTAGAACATTTCAACTTTCGACTCACCATTTTCATTTCTAGGAAACGATCATCCTCCCGACGAACGAGATTAACAAACCGACCGATTTGGGCGTACAAGAGATAAACGAAATGATGAAGGATAGCGGAGTGGTGGCTGGGTCACCCGATGATAAAGCCGAGGCGGCGGATCTTTTTGGAAAGGATGACGAGGGGGATTTCGAGTTGGCACAGGATCTTCTCGATGAACCCGATGATGAGGTCAGTTAATGAAAAATACAGAGAGTGTCTCTCGTCGAGTAAGCATATTCGGCTACTTTCGGGTTTTCATTACACCCAAGCTATGGTCTTGAATGAAATAAACATGCAGAAAATATAGAAAAATACAGCCAGAGATTGATCCCCAAAAATTTGGGCATAGTCACGCTGAAAAATAGAGAAACTGTCTCAGTCGCCTTTTCCAAAAAATTCCAAAACATTCCAAAAGGGAATCACCTCATGCCGAGGGTGTTTGCCAGAAGCTGAGCGATTACCCGGCAGCACAAAGAACCCACAAAGATCAGTCGGGATTTCTTCTTTGCTTTGTAGATGATATAAGATCCTCTTGCCCATTGATTTTTCTTCTAGTTAGGATAACGGACAATTGCCATAAATATCAAATATCAAAAGATTTCAGATCCCAATGGACATATCATTCACCCCAATGACTCCAATGAGCGAAACATCGACCCTTTACCTTCAACCATTCGGTCATCCCGAAGCTGAACTCCTCCGATTGAAGCGAGTTCACGAAGAGCCGGAAGTGATTGCAAAGAAGGAGATTTTTCGGGTAAAATCAAAATTTTCAAAGAATAATCTCGATTTTTACAGATAAAAGCCGAGGTCGAGCCTCAGCCGGTGATTCTCAGCGAGACGTCGACAATCATTTTGTCGCCTGATGGAGAAGGAGGAGAAATGAGATTGAAGAAAATTCATTCAGAGAAATATCAAAATGGAGAAGAATATCGAGCCGAGAAACCGGATATGAATGATATTACGAATGTGGTTAAGGATATTGCGAATTTTTGCGTGGTAAGTCGAATTGGAGAAGTGGGTTTTCGTGTCTAACTTCGAAAACTAGCGTAACCTTGCTTATACCTTAGTATTCAATCCTTTTTTTGTATTTTTTGCCAACTTTTATGAACTTTAAAGCGTGGATAAATTAAATATATAAGCTAGAGACAGGATTACGGTAGCTTCCGAAAGCTTTTTTTAAAAGAAAATCGTCAAAAATGGCAGGATGCCGGAAAGAGACCGAGTAGTGCTCACTCAAAAACTTGTCACTTGAGTTGTGCGACTCCAATTCGAAAGCTTTTAGTGTGTAAATGTAGCCAAGATTCCGGGCTTTAAATCTCTATATAACACTTACCACTTTTAAACTAAGTTTGACATTTGTTAGCTGCTTTTACAAAAAAGTTTTGCCACACTCTGACACTCTCTAGATTTCCGTTTAAGGCTCCACAACGAACCCATTCGATCACCTCATCTCAACCCTCAATTCTCGACTTGGTGCCTGAGAATCAACGAGAATCCACACCGATTCACCTCGAGAAAATCCCATCGAAAAAGAAACAAGAAGAGATTACGACGATGTTCAAACAAGTGGCCGCATTTTGCATGGTTTGTTTGTTTGTTATGTTATGAATAGGATAACAGTTTTGTTCCAAGTGAAAGAATTAATCTTTTTGGAAAATAGTTTCAACGTCATTGCTATCCTCATTGCTATCCTCATTGCTATCCTCATTGCTATCCTCATTGCTATCCTCATTGCTATCCTCATTGCTATCTTCAGGCCCAACCCCGAACCACTTCAATCGTTCCAAGCGAAACCTCGACCCTCTATTTATTACCATTGGGTGACGAGGGAAATGAACCGATTCGTCTCCGAAAATTGCACGCAGACGGAACGGAGACTGTGGCCGAAACACCCGATGAAGTGCAGAAAATGCTCAAAGATGTGGCCGCTTTTTGTATGGTGAGTTGAAGATGATCTTGATGAGATCATTGAAAACATTTTTGTGTCAAGTTTCGAAAATGTCCTTAGCCCTGCTATAGTCTTTAAATGAACTGGATTTTGTTCAGAACCCAAAAATCTTATGATCAAATGACTTAACCATTTAAGATTACTTAATTTTCCAACGGAAACTTGTAAATCTTAGCATTTAGAGATAACTCTTGTCTAATCCAACAGTTTCATGGTTTCTTTATTCTTTAAAACGTTCTTTATAATATTTTTTTTTTGCAGAAACAACCCCGAACAAACTCAATCTGCCTCTCCGATGCCTCATCTGTGCACCTTCTTCCATTGGGTGGATCGGGTGAAGAAGGGTTGAGATTAAAGAAGATTCATGTCGAGAAATCCCTTCCACAAACGCCGATCAAAGAGAGAATTGAGGAAAAAGACGGTGATGTGCTTAGAGATATCGCCGTGTTTTGTTGGGTGAGTTGAAGAGAATTTCCAGAATTGATTTGCATTAAAGGCCCAACCGAGAAGGGATTCGATTGCGGGAAGTGACGTGTCATCGCTGTGTTTGATGCCGCTTGGAGGAGAGGAGAAAGTCTTTTTGAAGAAGATCAATTTCATGAAAGAGCAAGTGAGTTTTGGGTATAAAGAGATCAACTAGAGATATGCCGAAATCGATTTTCTGAGCCAAAAGAGTCAAACTAGGGTAGAACCTTCCTAAAAAGTCTGTCCTGGCTTTGCTGTCTGGTCCAAAAACTCATTCAACAGATCTGGATCTGGTTTTTGCTTTTAGAACATTCAAAATGTTCTAAAAGGCCAAATTTGTTGGTAAGCTAGGGTCAGGGTAAATTTAATATTTGCTGAATGAATGCTGAATGAGCTGACACTGATTTGCTAATTCGCTGATCACTACTAATTTAAGCTGACCAATTTCATTTCAGACAGGCGAATCGAGTCCGATTCGAGAGCTAGCGAGTCCGGATGATGTTGGCCATATCTTCAATGAGATTTCTGCTTGTTGCATTGTAAGTTTATAAGAATTCGAATGAAAAGTGAAATTGCCGTTTAGAACGCGCCCCGAACCGCTTCATTTCCAGTGAGCGACGCCTCATCACTGTATCTCGCACCAATAGGTTTCCATTATAATCTTCAATTTAATAATTCAATAATATTAGATCTAGATAAATGATATCAAATAAATTATTAACTTTTTTAAGAGATATTTTGTTAAATATCGAATGAGATATTCTTTTAGGTGAATCTACTTCTCAAATCGTGCATCTAAAGAAAGCGGTGAAAGGAGAAGAAAAGGAAGAACAAGAGATCGTTGTGCAACAAGAATCGGTAGAGATGCAGAAATTACAAAAGACTCACGGATTTTGCATGGTATGCTTGGGTGAATAGCTTTATACATTTGATATTTAGAAGAAACCCGAAGTGGACTCGATCGTTTTAAGTGAAACATCGACTCTTTGTTTGCAACCGATTGGAGAAGAAGGGATGGTGTTGGATGGAGAGCCGATGTTGAGGTTGAAGAAAGTCCACAATACAAATGTGATGAGGAATCCAGAAATGAGACCATTTCAAATAAACGACAGTGTGGTGAGTGAATGAGATCAGAGATAAGACTATGTTTAGGATAGTTTACTAGGATTACGATAACTTTAAATCTGGAAGCAGGTAGCTTTCAAAAAATCGTAAATTTTAGAAGATTCAAATTGAGAAACTTTTCCAAACTAAGACTTGAGAATATTAAAGTAAAAGTCAAATAAAATTCAGCTAACAATCGATACAACTCCAATGAGCGAAGCATCGACACTTCTTTGGGCAAATGTTGGACGGGAAAATGAAGAAGCGAACATGTTGCGATTAAAAAGAGTCAGAGATGCGTTAGAGAAACATTTGGAAGGGAAACAAACGATTAAGGTAGAGAAAAGGATGAAGACAAAGATAGAAAAACATTTAGACAAAGAAAGATCCGATCGTTTTGAGTGAAACATCGACATTGATGTTGATGCCGATTGATGATGAACAAGCGGAACCATTACGGTAAAAGATTTCAAGAGATTCGACTAATGAGGGCTTAGGCTGAAGAAAATCCGAGACAATCAACAAGTGAATCAATCGCCAAAGAAAGTTGAAGAAAAAGTGAGATCAAAGGTTTTTCTGAGATGAAATTGGATTTAGATTGAGGAGATCATCTCACCGTGCAGTAGCAATGAAGCAGTGAGCACAGAAAGTAATTTAGAGAACATTGAACCGATGAGTGTTAAGAAAGGTGAGTGTACTGATAGTTTACTGATTTCAAAAGGGGGGGGGGGTAGGCTAGTTTCCGCAACTTTTTTTGCGCAACAGGGTCATTTGCGCAACTGGGTCGTTTGCGCAACTCACCATAACTTTCTTCTAAGTGGGCTAATCTTTATGATTTTGGTCTCATTTTGCTGCACTTATTGAGATCTACAAAGTGAGACCAAAATCATAAGGATTTATCCATTTAGAAGAAAGTTATGGTGAGTTGCGCAAACGACCCAGTTGCGCAAATGACCCTGTTGCGCAAAAAAAAAGTTGCGGAAACTAGCCTACCCCCAAAAGGGATTTTATATCATATTTTATAAGTCTAAAATCTCATTTTATATCATATTTTATAAGTCTAAAATCTCTTCTTTAAAATGAAATAAAAAGTAGCCAATAATATTATTTCTAGATAAAGTTCTGACTCTTTAAAGCCTGTAGATCTAGATTTCCCTTTTTCGCTTTCCATTCATTCATAAATCGAAAAGCATCGATCAAAATCCTCTCATTGTCAGTTATCCATTCATTTTCTCACTCGATTCATCGAAAAATCATCACAAAACTTTTTTTCAGTCATCAAATCGTACGCATTTCTCTCATTCTCTGCTAACGAACTATTTTTTGTTTTATTTTGACCTATATTTTCTCATTCTTTCAATTGTCAACTGTATAACCGATCTATTCTTGAGTTGACTCATTCATTTATTAATTTAATCATCATTTACTAAATCTGAAATCATTAAATCATTTACGAAACTAAAACTTTATTTACTAAATCATTTACCCAATTCCCTTCCATGCATTGCTTGAAAATTCAATCTACCGGTAAAATTTCCTTGTTCTTTTACAAATTCTATAGGAAAAGTTAAAGAACTAACGTTATTTTTTTAAAGTTTCCCAATTATAATGACTATGAGTATAAAAACAAGCGTCAAATGAAATGTTGAACAGAAATCTCACTAGTATTTCCCATTTGCAGAACTGCCGCCAGTGTTCCATGTGCCGGCACCACCGCCACGTGAAACTTTATTAGTCGAACATAAAGGGACATCACCGTTGAAGAGACCAAAACAACAACCACCACCAAAACCCGATGAAAAGACGAAAGTTGCGATGGTGAAAGAGCAAAAGGGAGCAACAAAGCTGAGACAGAGTTTGTCGATGAGAGAGGAAAAGGAAAAGGAAAAGGTGGGTAACAAATACAATGATTTCTGATTTCTAGATTGTACAATACCAGTTCCCTTTGGATATAATTACCGTAAATACTGTAATAGTACCCCACCCCCATAATGACGGTGCGGAGTGTCGCGTAGTCTAGCTTTGAATGCGTTTTTCTCGACGCTGCTTTATGCTACAATGCGCGCTTAGGTATCAAAAAATAGCTGAAATTCAAGGCTATTTTTTGATATCAAAGACGCATTTTTTTGAAAAAAAATGAAATACTAAAAAACTTTTGCGACTACGCGACTGTACGTGGGGTACTATTACAGTATTTACGGTATATCGTTTTTTTCTAAATGATTCACCATTACTGAAGCTCTTCTTTCTTCTAGGAACCAAAAGCGAAAACTCCGCGAACCCCGTTGAGCGCTCGGTCGTTGAAGAATTTTCTTCTCAAAAAGGACAAGGTCAAGATTACAAAGGTAAGCTTTGAATTTGAATATACTGATATCGTTCTTTTCAAAGTCTAGTTTACTGTAAGTTGATGTTATAATGAAATTTGTTATAAATTTGCAGCCTCTCCCTACCTCAGCAACAATGCCCCTCTCACCGAGACACAATCTTTCGCTCAGATTCCGACAAGATGCTCCGTTAGCTGAAAGTGAAAGTAAGTTAATAAATTCCATGTAAAATTTCCATATCTAAATCTTATGGATAATTTTAGGCACAGTGATCGAGAATTCGCCGCACGTCGAGTTTCCGCCAATGCGATTCGGTCAATGGAATGCGAGTCCAAGAGGGAGGAGACGGTCAGTTTCAGAGATTCGATTACAAATTTGCATATATTCTCTGAATCTTATGATTTCAGTGCATCCGATCGTCCACCCAGTCAATTAGCTCTATTCGACAAAAACGGGAACAACATGCGAGGGCCGAGGGATATATCCAACACTTCTGGTCAGTCATATAATAAGCCATTTGCAAGGCCTAAAGTTAAACCATAAATTTTACGTTATAGCCAATATTGGCTCCAAGATTTACTGGTAAGATAAGATAAGAATTTTCTGAAGTTTTTAGCTGATAAATGAAACATTTTTGGGGATCTACATGACACTCTTTAAAGGGGACTCGCACACGCACTCGAGCAGTGGTTAGGAGAGCCGAATGACCGAGTGGTTAGGAGCTCGAGCCCGTAATCCAAGGCTCCTAGTTTCTAGTTCGGTTCCTTTCTAGGTCAGGAACTCAGGACCAGCAATGTTCCAAGCTTTCTAGAACCCAGTCAAGCGTACTGCCTGGCTAGATTAGTGTTAAACTAACTTTAAGAACTTTCTTGGCCTGGCTTGGCTTGGCCTAGTTATCCATGACTCTGTATCAGAGCCTTTTAGTGCATACTTCCAGCCTTGCAGCTCCAAAATTCATTAATGAGAGTCTCGGTGAAATTTTCGTTTGGGTGAAAAGACTAATGGATGGGTCATTGGTACTTAAGCCTTTTCAGCCTAATCCTTTAGAGAAGACCCATTTGTGGAAAGAAAAGAGAGAAATTCGATTGTTTTCCCTTTCTTTTCTTCCATCATTCTTCGTCTGTTCCCTAATTGGATGGCACTAGTAAAAAGAAGGGAAAAGGGAGTTGAATTCACTCCTCCCTTACTCTACTCTATTTCTTTCATTCTCTTTGTTGCATTCAAGAACTTTTAACTTATAGATTTAAGTTCCGAAAGTGTTTTTTTAAAAACTTTATCCAGTTTATCCTTTTAGTTCGTTCAACACAAGAGCCCGGGCTGATCGATGACGAGATTCGGTGAGTTGAACGGACGGAGTGCCAAAAAATAATACTAAAACAACACATTGACAAGGGATAGTTGAACTAAATTAAACCAGAGCTTTTACAGCAATTCAAACGTCAACTATTCAAATGTCTGACACCAAGACGCTCTTGGTTAGCCTAATTAAAATTCATTTTTTTTTCAAAACAGCGATTTCATTCGATTCACTCTAATATTATCCTTTCCGTATTCTAAAAAACTATAAATTAAAATTCTAGTGAGCATTTTTTTCAATCCTTTTTATGAGCAATACGCAAATGAAGTCAATCATTTTGCTTTAGCTTTAACAAAAACAATACTATTCAACTCTTCGAGAAAGTCTTTTCATTCCTTTTTTGTACTTTCGTTTAAAACCAACAAATGCACAAATTTAACTACGATTTATTTTATTAGAAAAATCAATTATTTTTCTGCAAAATAACATTAAAACGAGTTTAAATCGTCTTATGTCTGCATTTTTTTGAGAGCCTGAAGTCGGGTAATCAAAAAGAGCAACGGTTCGTTGGAATGCGATGACACTTTAGCTAAGAAAACCGATCTTCGTGTAAATAGATAAAAGATAGATAAAAGATATGTCGATAGATAAAGTTTGGTTTATAGCCAAATTTTCAGAGAAATTCATTCAGCCAATTTCTTCGTAGAGGTTTTTGATAGAGGAAAAACCCGTTTTCACTCTCGAATTTGCTTGTAATTAAGCTGAAATTGACTTTAAAAGATGGCGAATTGAAAAAGAAACATTTTTATTTAGAGTAAACAATAGTTAATTAGTGTATTTTGTTTATTTTTTAACAAAAGTACAAAAACGAACGAAAAGACTTTCTGGACTGTACAGTACTGGACAATGAAATATCATATTTGAAAAACGACCGTCACTTTCGCGCGTCTATAACTCCCTTGTCGTTGAGTTTAAACTATTAGTGTTATACATTTTCTGAAAGCTCTTTTCAAGGGCTACACAATGGTAATATTAATATTTAGAAATAGGGTAAAGACAAGGGAGTTACAGACGCGCGAAAGTGACGATCTTTTTTCAAATATGATATTTCATTGTCCAGTAGTGTATCTACACAAATTTTGAAGCTTTATCTCATTCGATCTACCCATTTTTCTTCATACAACCTTTCTATAGAAAAAAGATATCAAACTTAACATAACAAAAAGAAAATAAAGTCGAATTTGAAAAGAGAAGAGATATGCAGAGTGAGGGGATCTTTTCTCTTTCTCATTTCATTCTACTTTCATTCTACTTTCATCCTTCTTTCATTCTTCTTTCATTCACCCTTCTCCACTTTGACCTATCAGATTTCAGCCTCAAAATGCCCTCTGAAATCCCTTTTGAAAAGGCTGAGAGATTCCTTTTTCTCTTTTTGATAAAATATTGAATTTAGTCCCCTTTCTTCATCCTTTCATCTCATAGCATCTACTAGTTTTCGCAAAAAAGGTTCTATAGCTTTCAATATGTCTAAAGTCTGATGAATTCATATCAAAAATAATTTCAAGATTATCTGTTTCTTGCTAATTCCACCTCATTCTGTGCATTTGTTTAGCTTTGTACATAGCAAACAATCACAACAGAGCACACAACTCTTAAAAACGAGAAAGAAACTCTAACCCTAGCTTCACACATAATTCACATTCAACGGTTAACTTTAATAATTTAAAGCTTATTAATATTCTGCTAAGCTTAGTTGATTAAGTTAAAGCAAACTAATCAACACATTCAGCGATCAACCAATGTTGATGGGCGATTCGTTCTCCACATCGAACAGCATTGATGGGCTTGCCGCTGTAACGATGTTGAGGTAGAGAAGTTGATTAGATATTCACTTAACTTTTTTGGTATTTATAAAAAGGGGAAATGTTGTCCAAGCAATACTAATCCTTTGCCTACTTTTAGATCTTCTTATGAACCCGACGCGACCACGATAATGTCGATTGATCGAAGCACGATCGATGATCACAATAATGAGTTGGTTTTCGGCAGAAATTTCTACAAAATCAAATGAATAATCAAAATATTGTGTACTTACAAAGATTACTGTAACTTTTTTTAAAAGAAAACCCTATTCATCATTCCAATAACTTTTAAACCCTGCGATAAAATGCTCAAGATTGAAGGTCAGAGAGTCAAAAATAGCAAGAATTCACGATTTCTCTAACAATAACGGGTTTCCAACTGGGTATTGTACAAAAAGGATTGGGGTGTGTACTCTTTTGAGTGAAAAGAATCGAAGGAGAATTGTTCTTGTCTCTTTTGAGGAGAACTGGTTCTTCTTTTCTTTTTTATGGGTTTTCTTCTTTTTCCGAGTCTAGTACTTCATCCAGAAGTAGATTGTCTTTAAAATGTTTTTTTAAAAAACTTTTCCGGAAAAAGGTTACCATACCAAGACTTCAGTGCATCCGATCGTCCACCCAGTCAGTCACTGTAACCCTGTACTTGAAAAGTACAGGGTTACAGTGGTTTTTTATTTATTTCTTATTCTTGAAACTTTTTCTAAATGGTATTTCTCCCAGAAAGCTATCGTACTCTAGTTTTCTTTTCATGAGTTGTCCAAGTTGGTCTCAATTTAAGTTTATGTCATGAAGTCCAAGTCTAGTCCAAGTTGGTCTCAATTTAAGTTTATATCATGAACTGCCGGGTGAAGATGTTCAACTCAAAAGAAGAAGAAACTCTAAGTAGACTCAATTCAAGCAAAATCAATCTCAACTATGAGTCAGATAGTTTCAAGTTTTCTTGTCTTTACTTCAATCCCATCTAACACGATCAAAGTGTTGCACGTTGCAATCAATCATTTTTGTGCTCGTTGTGCAAGAAGAAGAAGAAAAAAGTAGAAAAGATTGATGAGATGAGTCTCGAAAAAATAAAAGAAGAAAAGGGAAACTTCAGAAAATGGATTGGAAGAGAGGGAAAGGAGAAAGGGAACGGATCGGATCTCGTTCAGAGACAACAAAAATCCACAATGTCTGATCGGGAAAAGAGGAAAGAAGATACACAGAAAGGGGTGTCTCATCCTCGTGCTTGTGCACCTGTGTCTGTGTCTCTGCTCTGTGTCTCTCGCTCGATTCCTCCCTCCCCTTTTCATAGAATTGATCATTCCCTCACTCATTCTTTTCATTTCTTCTTTTCATGGCTGATTGCCTCATCGGCACACTTTTCAAAGCGTTTAGGTGGTTTGTTTTTAGACAATAAAAGGTAACTGATAACTTTTAGGCTAAGTTTTAAGCTACCAGTCTCTGAAATTTTGGAGTATTTGCCTAAGGAATGCAAAATCAAGAATTTACTGCTCAATTTTCAAAAGCTTTCCAGATTCTAATCTATCAAATGAATTCTAGGACTGATTAAAGACTTAGTGCTAAACTCTTCTAGCTTGATCGTTCTTGAGGCGGAGATCAGGGTCAAACTATTCACTAGCTTGTAAGATTTTGTCTTTTTATGAATTAAATCAATGATCACATCTTGAATTCATCTAGAAAAACCAGTTTTTTTTTTGATCCAAATCATCAAAATTGCAAAATTTGCAACACCGCCCAATTTTCAAGGGATTAAAGACCCCAAACACGAACTAACATCCACGTAGAAACATTTCTCAAATGTTCATGAGATTCTGGGAATCTTTTTGTAGAGTATTTAGGTAAGGAAATATCATTTGCATATGAAATTGTAATAGTTGTAAATTGTTTTGAATTTTCAGACACCGTCGTTCCTATCACGATTCCCCGGCTCCTCCATCGCATTCATCTGCAAATCATGGGTGACTTTTTTCGCATTTTTTTTCATTTTTGATCAGTCAAGTATCGATTTTGGAAAGAATTTCAAGTTTTTCCCTTTTCTGACTATAAATAGAACACTTGAAACCAGGCAAATAGCGAATGTTTTTGTGAAAAAGAATAACTTTGACATTGTTTACTAAAGAAATCAATAATTTTACAATAAAATATTGATTTATAAAAAGATTTATAGGTTATAAGAAGTTGGATTCATTGAGAAATTATGAATAAAATCGGTTTTTAGCCATCTAAGCACGATCTACTCACCACCGAGCAATCAGAAGCAAATCGAGGCGAGTCTTGCTGAGGTGAGCAAATGAAATTCATATTTCGATCTATAAATGAAACTAATCGTAATATGCAAAGCTAACATTCTAGCTTGTCTAATTTGAAGATTTCAAGATTATTTGAGAATTGAAACCTTTTCTGTTTTAGGTGGAAGCGATGCGGGCTCAACTAGTCGCCCTTCAGTCAGCTCTCGCACAAATGACCCCCGAATCTCCGCCACAGAATAAGGTGAGATTAGAAGATTCAAAAGACATAATTTTAAATTTAAAGTAGAATTTCAATACTTAAACACACGAAATTCCTTTTGAAAGCCTTATCTTTCAGCAAGGGCAAATCGGTTGTTGCGAGTTGGCCCGGGAGAACGATGTGTTGAGGAGGCAATTGTCGGAAAAAGATCGAATCATCTCACAATTGAGAGAGCAATTGGCGATCACAAAGATTACTCATTAAATGAAATCAATGAACAAATTTCGAACATCGTTATCGGTGTTTGCGAACATCGTTGTCGGTGTTTTATATTGATTAGGCATCTCGATTTTTCTCCCATTTGATTTCTCCCATTTGATCTTTCTTCATTTCAATCTCTTTCATTTCTCAAATCAAAACCGAGTGCTATTCTTTCACATAAATATAGTCATTTTGTTTTCAACTTTCATAAAGGACTTTTCTCTTTAAAGTCTAGATTATTTATAGGGAAAATTTTGGTACTATAATTTCTAGAGTTTTTCCCAAAGGATTTCCCAATTCAAATTCATCAACTCTACTCAAATCCAGCTACTAGATTTAGCTTTTTTTTTCTAAATTCTTAATAACTAAAGAAAGCCACATTCTTAATAACTAAGAAAGCCAGAAAGCTAGCTTTAAGTAATCCAAACTGCTTTCAAAGTTATGGATAATTTAAGTAACTTGAAAAGTATTTTAAATCCAATCTTTCTATATTTAATAGAATTAGAAAACCGACGAAACTTAGCCATGTTTTCTAAACGTTAAATAACTTTGGATAGATTTAAAAATAAGCTTATTTAATCATAATAAAATAAGCATAAGCATAATCTGGATACGTAATAAAAATAAACCGTCTAGTGAATAGTACCAAAATTTTGAAATTCAAAAACTTTTTCCGTTGTGATGAATGTTGTCGATGATCTGAACTCATTTTCTCTTCGATTTCTCTCAAAAATTCTTCTTTTGAAAGTGTTCATTCTAAAAAATCTAGTCATTTTTCATTGTTCTTTTAAAAAAATCAAAAAGATTTGCATTTCATGCCCAAATTTTTCTTTATAAACTAATCTTACGAGTGCTTCGGTTATTTGTTTTTTAAATTTTATAAAAATCTTAGATCCTGGCTTTAAAAGTCATATTGTACTTTAGAGATGTTTTTTTTAAAAATTTTGATTTAAAATTTTTAATTTTGACTTGCTGTGATCGTTTTTTTTCTTCTTCGATATGAAAAAATTTGAAAGAAATGATAAAACTTACAAAATTTTCTGAAAATTTACAAGCTTAGCTACAGTACTGGACAATGAAATATCATATTTGAAAAAACGATCGTCACTTTCGCGCGTCTGTAACTCCCTTGTCTTTACCCTATTTCTAAATATTAATATTACCATTGTGTAGCCCTTGAAAAGAGCTTTCAGAAAATGTAGCTTCATACAATCTTTCTATGGAAAAAAGATATCAAACTTAACATAACAAAAAGAAAATAAAGCCAAATTTGATAAAGAGTTTAAAGATAATATTTCGGGCCAGGATCAGTTCAGAAGTCGAGTCCACTATGACCTACACTACTGGACAATGAAATATCATATTTGAAAAAAGATCGTCACTTTCGCGCGTCTGTAACTCCCTTGTCTTTGCGTTTAAACTATCAGTGTTCTACATTTTCTGAAAGCTCTTTTCAAGGGCTACACAATGGTAATATTAATATTTAGAAATACGGTAAAGACAAGGGAATTACAGACGCGCGAAAGTGACGATCTTTTTTCAAATATGATATTTCATTGTCCAGTAGTGTATATCAAAATCGAAAATCATCTAAAAATGCTAAGAATTTTAAGGAAAAAAAAGGAGAAACAATTATTGGAGCCAATTTTCAACAATTCCTACTTGAATTTCAGCCAATCAAGGGGGGGGGTTCTTTGGAAAGCAAAAGTGGGCTCATTTCTTTTGGTTTTCTATGAAAAATTCTACAGTATTCTATCTATTTTATTAAATTAAAGTACTAGATTTAACTTTACTTACAAAAAAAAATGGTGATTCTGGACCCAATGTCTCTGAGCGTAAATCCGCTTGAAGAGATTGAGAAAGTTTTGCAAAGACAACAGCCGGTCATTGTCGGGAAATCGATTGAAATGGAGGTGAGGGGAATTTCTTTTTTTTTTTGCAAATAATCAGCATAAACTCGAAAGAAGGATTAATAAAGCGGATTTGTTCTGTAGAGATAAAGTACATCCATTTCATCGGCTCATTGAAAGTTCGTATAGCAAAAGCAAAAATAAAATAGCAAAAGCAAAATAGCAAAAGCAAAATAGCAAAAGCGAAAAGCAAAAGCAAAAGTCATAAAAGCAAAAGTTCATTGATTTGAAAGATTCGCAAAAGCGCTGCAACTATACCTTGAAGATTATACTGTTCCAATTGTTCAGCTAAAATTTGCCACTTAAACCAGATACCTTTAGCTCAGTGGTTAGTGGCTCAATTGCCTGAAAAGCGAAAGGCTTCAAGTTCAATCCTCCGCTCCGTAAATCTACTTTTTTTCTTGTAAATTCTTTCACTTATTAAATGCCAATAGCCATAGGATTCGCTAGCACTGAATGTTGTTAGGTTTTACAAATCTCTTGCTATGAACTCTTGCTATAAACTCTATGACTTTCTTCCTCCATAGACTTTTTCCACTTGTATCGTTTCAATGCAAATAAATTTATAAATACTTTATCAAGTTTATCTTAAAGCAAGGCAAAAGTCAATATTTTTTAGGTTTACTCGAGTGAGAATCATCCGAAATCATTGGGTGATCCATGGAAGGGCGCCTATTCTCGACACGGTTTTTGGTATAAATTTCATTGGGGTGATGAGAAAGATTTCAAAAAGGTTTCTTTTATTATACAATTTGTAAATAAAGTTTCTCATTTAGTTGGTTGCTTTTGGTGAATCACAAAACGAATTCCTTCTACAGTATGAAGTGTTTTCAATGTTTATCGAGGAATTGCAAGGGAAAGTGCTGGTAGCAAAAACGCTATGTGAGTTGGGTGAAGGTTGAGAAACAATAAGAAGAATTTGAGCCGGAGATTTGATGGGTGGGATCACAATGGGATCGCATAAAGAATACACAGTGATTGGATGTCATTTCGTTCTCGAGGAATATCGGTTTGTCAAAAAAGTGATGACTGGATAATTGTTTTGGGTATCAGCCCTGCTAAACAACCAGGCCGTAAACAAAAAGAGAACTTGCTGGATACCATCCTCTCAATCTTGTCTAACAATGAAGAAAATTAAAGGGCAAAATTTTTACAAATAAATTTACAAGAGGCGGAAAACGGTGACTATCTATCGGGGGCGTGTGTCAGATGGCGAGCGATTGTGCGCGCACACAAAGAACGCCTTGCCTGTCATTTACAGCGATTTCTCTTTTGCTTTGGAGATGGTAGAAAAATAAGATTTTAAGCTGTAAATTTGCATCCAAGGGTTTTCAGGGTCGGGGAATCGATTGGCGCTATTCATTTTAATGAGTCTGCCAATTCGAATTCGATTTAGACAACAATTTAGTCATTCGGGGATCGGTGAGAAGCTTCTTCGAGAGATCCTTGAACACATTCCACCGGGACACAATGTCATTTGCAATGCAGGTTTGGCTTTTGAAAAGTAGTTAGAGGTAAAATGCTAAAACGTGTCAACTTTTGCGAAAACTCCCGCAATCTTGTATCTAATTCTTTTCCAGTCAATCCCCTTCACCATTCATTGGCTCGTTTCGGTTTCACACTTTCCCCGAGTTCTCCACAAATTCACCGGTACATAATCGAGAATCCAGATGGCTTGATGAAATTGGAAGTGAGCTTAAAAATTGTAAAGTTCAATTCAGCTCAATTCCAGGATGTTTCCAAGAGCCAAAACTCTCTTCTGGCTACCGATCTAAACGAGAGTCAATGGGGTAAACTCTTCGAATTCTACGCCACTCAAACGAAACAAGGAATCAAGTTTAAACCTTAGTTTCTATATTAATAATGAGAATCTTTTTAGCGAAGAGTTTTTGCGCAGTTTTCTGACACAAACGACTACACATTGTGTTGTTTTGTTCAAAGAAGAGATACTGTTTGAAAAGGATTTTCTAAAAAGCACATAGTTTCAGAAAACTACCGTACCGTTTAAATCGACTACCGTACCGTTTAAAGAAAACTACCGTACCGTTTAAATCGTTTTTTTCATTTGATTAGAAATGATAGATGTCGATGTCAAATAATCCAAAAATTTGGTTGATTAAATGATAGTTTTCTGAAAAGAGATGCTTTTTTAGGGTAAGGCTTTTGACATTGCGGAATACTATTAGGAAAGATCGATTTGCAGATGATTATGGCGATGTGTGCCTTGCGACGAGTTGCAGGCGGTCAATCAATCGGGAATCTCGTTGTCGGTCCATTCATATCGATCGACGAGAAATCCGCCGAACAAGCACTTCGACAGACACTCAACAAGTATTATGTAAGAAGTATTATGTAAATCTTGTATGCAAATTTATTTAGAACCCCGATGATGACTACGATTTCGATCCAGATCCTGAGGCTATTTATAGGTGAAATTTTCTGATTTGACCATGAGCTTTACAATTAGATATTGACTGTTTTATTTACCTCCAGCAAACTTACACAGTACTGTACAATACCTAGCAGTTCAGCACAGTGCAAAGTGTGTACGCTACATAGTAAAGCAATGCAGTGTATAGCGCAATCGTACACTATGGAGGGTACTGTACTGATACAGGTAATATAGGGTATAAATTGTACAGTACATTGTATTGTACAGTAGATTACTGTGCAATACATAGAACAGTAAAGTACATTTTTTCAGCTTAAAGTCCTAAATTCAGACGAAGCATCAACTTCTTCGTGCCTCAAACTAATCAATCGATGCCGAGAATTTTGACGAAATTCCGTGGAGATGGAAAACTGAAGATGAATCGATTATGGTATCAGGTAAAATTCACGCAAAATCATTTTCAATTCCAGTATCAGACTGCCAGTTTCCATCGTTCCATCAAAGCCTTCTCTGCGAATATTTTCTCAGCGAGTGACTTAAATTTCTTTATCGTATAAAAATTATCTCAACAACAATGATAACAAAAAAAATGACCAGTAGGAGTACCCAGACAATGATACAGATATGAAAAATCGATAACAACAAAGGAACCTCGAGCACTAACAAAAGTAGAATAGGTTTTTGGCAAATACCGGGGGAAAAGTGAAATTTGCATATAAAAATTGGTTTTAGGAGCACTGTAGCTTAGCCAGATTCTCAACCCCAACCACAATAAGCTATAGACGCCTGAACTAACTCTATGTTCTTTTCTTGCGTTTTCTAAAAATTGCCAAAATACGGTAGTACGGTAGCCTTTTCCCCAAGCACAGTTTTTAGAAAATACTGAAGCAAAAGAAAATCTAATAGAGAGGATACTAAGAGAACAAAAAAAAGCAAAAAATTATTGAGGATCCCTTTCCGAAGCTGCCCGCCGTCGAGCCCGTCTGAGGTGCGGATTCAAAACGATCGTTGAGCTGCCTGAAAAAGGAATACCTTATTCTAAAGATCCTTTAGCAAATTATGCCAAGCAAAGATGTATGCAAATTACAGTAACCCAATCGATTCCAATCCTCACCATGCCCCCTCGAATCTTCTTCTTCTTGGAAAGTCTCATCATCGTCTTCTTCCTCATCCATGAATGCTTCCAATATATCCCTACTATCATCACTTTCATCGTTTTCTTCTCCATCCGATTCTTCCTCTTCATCTCCGTCTTCATTCTCACTCTCCTCTTGTTCCATGGGCTGATCTATAAACCAAAGAATTACTATAGCACTATATTTCAAGTTCACGTATGCACCTAGTTATAGAATTCTAGTCTAAACTTGATGTGATAATATCCAAGTTAATCAGTCATCAGCCCACCTTCAGCCGCTTCCCCACTCGCCACCGCACTCGCTTCCCCGTCCACCTCCCATCCTTCCTCATCCGAACTCTCTTCTTCAACACTTGTCGTACTCTCAACATCATCCTCGTCCTCATCATCTTCATCTTGATCATCATCATCGTCATCAGACGATGAATCGCTTGATTCAGACGAACTCGAGAAGTCACTGTTCCCATCGTCCACCTGAAAAGAAATACCTTCAGTATATTCAGTATACCTCAAGTATAGCCAAGTATAGTAATACCTAAAGCTACAGTAACTCAGACAAGCTAAAGGTTCTAAAGAGTCGGCAAGTTGCTTACCTCTGGCTCCGCGTCTTCGTCCGCATCATCGATGTCCTCTTCCGGTACTCGAATTTTACCAATCTGAAATCGAAAATAGATTAGAAACTATTCAATGGATACCTCATAAAGTTTAACAGCCGACGATTCTTGCGTTAACAAATCATCCGTATCCGTCTTCGATGTTTTCTCCACAACGGCTACTCGTTGATCGGCGTGATCGAGACAAAGCGAAAGGATCGGCCGCCGCACATTTACCGAAGATAATTGCTAAAATGCGGTTTTGAACCAATTAAGATGAAAGTGTTACTTGATAAGAGACTGAGTCCAAAGTCGTGAAGCTGGATGTGTACATATCTTGTATTGAGCAATCCTCTCGATTACCGTCCCTTTTGATGGCATACATGATTGAGCCATTAGAAGTGAATTTGATCTGAAAGTTGTAAAATTGTTTATTTTTAGATTTGGATTCAATTCTTACATTACACTGATCCAGTGTTGGCACAGAAAGGAGCAAGCGGTACGTGCGCATATCCCACTGAAAATGATTCATATTTGGGTTGTCAGGTTGAAATTTTGAACTAGATCTTGATCAAGTCAGGCAAAAAATTTGCATACAGTAAACCACGAACCACTTCAGAGTTGATGATCACTTCATTTCCGTGTGGATGGAATACACCGGAAACGATCGAGTTCAGTTTGTCAAACGTGTGTAGCGGGCGAGCCGATGTCCGAATGTCCCAAAGGCGACCTGGAAGTGCATGAATATAATCTTTTTCTGAAAACTTCCAAAAAAAGCCACTTTGGTGAATACCAGTTGAAATATCGTAAATATAAATAGAAAAGCCCCCTATAGGAGCGCCGCATAGTCTAAGTTTGCACTCAAAGAACCGCCCATATCTCGGCGCCCGACATTTGTTTCGCTTAGGATCGCTTAGGATCAAATTAAAATGATGAAAGTGGGGAGGGCGGGTGATTTTTTTTATATAACACGTATTTTTAGCATTAGCCAGCGCTTAGAACAGAATAACTGAAAAATGAATAAAAATCGGAATTTTTCGCCTTGCCAAAAATCAACCATTCTGTCTACTTTAATTTGATACCCAAGCGCGCAGAAACAAACGTACTGGTGTCAAGATATGAGCGTTTGTTTGAGAGTAAACTTAGACTACGCGACGCTTCTATGGGGAGATGCTTCTATTAGAGTATTTATGGTATCTGACTTTCAGATTATACTGTACAGAGGCATTCATCAGCACTACGGTCGTACTATGGCATACTATGCAATACAATAGTACTTGGTGCAGTGGTCTTGGTAGAAAAGATGACAAGCTGGCGCTTACTATGAGTCAATTAGTCAAATGGGCTATTGAACAGCTTAATATTACTCCACTACTGCACTATTGTTTACCAAGTAATAATGTGTTTTATACTGATGTTTACCTTTACCAAAGACTCCTGTACACCGTTAGCTAAAGCCTTAATGCTATACAGTCGGACTAGGTATACTTGTACACTCACCATCATGCAGAATGCACGAATCATCCGGAGAAAAATGAGCAACGTTCTTGCGATAACGCTAAATTTCAGGATTCTCGGTGATCAATGATTTCTTTCACAAACCATTTTCTCTCCCTCTGTCCACAGTTTCACAATCGGTGTCCTAGTCTCAGTGTCAAATACCTAAACTCGAATTTCCTTTTCGTTTCAGATTGTCGCTTACCGTTGCCACTGTTGCCGCTTTCTTCAAGCAGAAACCTGTTCCAAGGATTCTATCCGAGCCTTGATTCGCGAATTCTGTGTACAATTCGACCGCGAAGTCATGTAAGTGTTCCTAAAGGCAAAGCTTAATCAAATAATTTGATAAAATTTTACTTGTGATTCCCCGAGGAGCCACAGAGATGAATATGGAGGCATGAAGGCAGAAGAAGTGAGCAATAAGCTGCCGTCCTGAATAAAGAGGGTTACGGTAGCTAGAATGCAGCTCAAAAGCTGGGTATTTGGACTACAACTTAGATAGATTACGGTATCTGGGATGCATTTCAAAAACTGGTAGCTGGCATAGAACTGAGATACCTATATTACGGTATATAGGATACAACTAAAGACAGATTACGGTATCTGGGGCACAGTTCAAAAATTGATATCCGAGCTACAACGTGAGATAGATTACGGTATCCGGAATACAAACCTGACTCGGCTCAATATGTGTGATTGCTGAATGATGGCAATTTGTGTGACTCTCTTCTTGAGTGCTTTCAACATTCAACCAATGCACTTCGCCTGTGTACATTCCGACAATTATGTGCTCGTCGTCGATCTAAATCGAAATTTAAGCTAAAGATACCGTATCCAAACTAAACTAGCCAAATAACAAAAGTTATTCGCTTACCGAAAATGAGGCCGCTGTGTACATTTCATCTTGTTCAAGGAAAGTTTTCACTGCTCGGAAGCGTGAATGCAGGAAGCGGTCATAGCCCCGGAAAAGTCGAGTTCTGAATGGGTATAGTTTCTTGAGTGTCTAGAATTCTAGATCAGTAAATGGTTATGGTATGAATATTACAACAAAGGGTAAAACTGTTAAAACTACTTTAATACAGATTTTTTTCAGGATTTTAAACTAAAAATTCAGTATCCAGATAGGGCCTAGTTAGCCTAAATTTCCAAGAGATTTCCGTTATACACCTTTTGACAAACAGAACAAAAACGCAGGTCTTTCTAGGTTAAGTCATCCTAGAGTTTGACCCGTGCTTTCTAAGCTGGATAGGTAATTAGAGTTTTTTAGATAAGGATTAAAGCTAATCAATTGACCTGTTATTCCAATTTTTCACCGATCTCGCACTCGTATTTGCGACAACGTGGCTCGGAATCGAATTTCTCTCCGGCACCTCCGGGCAACGATGATTTCGTAGAAGTGAGAATGGTGGACACATCGAGACGGGCTGAGCGCATTCCGAGTGTTGCATTCTGAAATCCATTCTAAATAGCAACAATCATTGTCTTTACTTGAAATATTGAACAATGACCCCATCCAATGTCTTCTTCTCTTCCAACGACCCCATCTCTTTTGTCAAGCGGGATTTTGTGCTTCTTGCTTCTAAAATTTAAAATTTAAAATTTTTCTTTTCGTAGATTACCCCGTTTTGCTTTAGCGGTGATAGGGGTTGCTGGAGTGGCGAAAAGGAAATTTTCCTTAGCTGGGTTTTTGAAATTCGTCGGTGTTGTGGTGATTCCGCCAATGAAATTCGCCGGTCCCGCATCAACTTTCAAAGTTGGGCGCGGAACGACATGCGACATGAAATCGGTTCGCGATGGCTGGAAAGAAAGAGTTTTTAGAATTGAAGCAGCTACTTACAAATCTTATAATTCTACTGTACTGTCAATTTGCACTTATTGATCAGGGCATGAAGTTAGCCGGATGCTGCAGTACTGATAGAGTAATCGCTATAATAAGCCAAAAAACAAGCGAGCACTTTTTGCTTTGTCTAAAGAATTTGAAGATGGCCAGCCTCAGGGTCACTGTAGTTAGTGTATCTTCTAGTTATTATCCATCCCGTGAGAGCCCTAGGTGGTACAGGAAATTTATGCTATGGATAGGCTCTCAAGGCAAGATTACGGTCGTTTATCGAAAATTGACCCATTTTAGAAAATGCAGTATTTTATCTCGAAAATCTCACCAATTGAGCAATGGCTTTGATCGGTTTTTGCAAAGCGTTACTCGTCCTCTCCGTCAAATTTGCCTCTTGGGAGAGCTGATCGGCAGCTTTGTCTAATCCCTGAATCAAAAAATGATAAAGACATCACTCATTCACTCACCTTTCCCTTCAAATACGAATGAATCAACTCCAAGAGCTCTTGTTCATCGTAGGTGATATGAGTGGATGCGACGATCGCTTGTTTGACCATTCTTTCCTAGAAATGGGCTGGTTATTGAGAAAATCTTAGCTTTGCCTTACTTGCGTCAAATCTTTGGGATCTCTGACTGGTCGGCCGGTCACCACTTCGATCAATTTCTTGGCCTCTTTGCAGAAACGACCATAGTCACTTCGACTCTCGGATGGGACCAATTCTCGGAGATAAGCTAAAATTTGCATAAACTAGCTATATTAACTAATTTCTGTATTCCTCTTAATCTTTTGGTTTTCTAAAAGATGCCAAGTAAGCTACAGTACTCTATTTACCTTTTTAAAAACTAAAACCCGGTGAGCCTCGCTCTTTTACCCACTTAAGAACTGACAAGTCTCTTCAAAGGTTATTTTCGTTGTCTCGAAAAAAAAGAGCAGTAGGATTACGGTAGCTTTTTCTTAAGCGCATTTCTTCAATCAATATTGCAATCTGCACTTACTTTGAAGTTCATTGTTCATGACAATCGGCAGCTTGCTCAATAGTTGCCTGACTTCAGCGTTTCTAAACAAAAACAAGTGATAAGCAAGTTAATATGCACATTTTCAACCTGGCAATTCCCTGTAGTGCCCTGCAAGCGGCCAAACGAGCTCGATCTTTTGAAGGATTCGTAGGTGGATCACTGATGGCATTGGTCAAGATCTGAAAGCTTAACGAATGCTTTTTCAATACAAAGTACTGTCACCAGTCACACCCTGAGGCTTTACAGTAATCTTATCAAATTCGTTCAATTACCATAATCCCGTTGGCATTCCGAATCGCATCCCACATTCGTTCCAGCAAATCTGTGGTCACCGATGAACCCTAAGAATTTTAACTCTTAAAGCTATTCTGTTAAAATAAAGTTTTTTGTATTACCTTGTTTTTTGACTTTCGATCCGGATTTACACTTGATTTTCCCGGAGTTTGTGAGCCGAATATCTAAATGTTATTTTTCTTTTGGTTTCCCAATAAAAGTCACCTTGCTTTCGGAATATGGCGGTGCGCAAACAATGAGTTGCAGGATTTGCAGGGCGATGAAACCCGTTTCTCCAAAGTTCGCATCTTTGCCACAAAGTTCGGTGATGTGACTGAAGGAAAGTGGCTTATGACCAAAAAACGACGATAAAATGCATTGTTTATTTAAGAGTTACAGTAGGACGCCATTATTTGGCAGGTTTTCAAAAGATACACGGCTAATAAGGTAGAAATACTTTAGGAACATAAAAAATGATGTAAAGCTTCTGTTTCTGACCGGCTACACTATTCTGCAATAAAAGTTAGTTAGCAAACAAGCCAAAAGCATTTATCAGTCAGCCCACAGTACTTATCTCATTGAAAACTTCAAAGGTTTATTTATTCATACCTTTTCAATGTGCAATTAAAGCAAGTCTCGTTAGCTGAACACTTTATATTCTAGGATACTATAGTTCGACAGAACATTGGGCTTTATGATGTGAAAGAAATAGTTTGCTCATCACTAACCTCAACAGCGAGCACCCTATATGTCCTTTCAGCTGTAATCGCTCTGCGTACTCCAGCTGAGAACTCGGCAACGTGGCCAGCATCCAAAGCACTTCGATCGCATTCTTGCACACTTCGTGTCGACTAAAACTTTTAGTTTAACCTCCTTTTCTAATCATTCTTACCCGCTAATTGGCACGATTTCAATAGTCGGTGTTTGGTCGACGATGTGTAGCATGTACCGGGCAACCCCCGTTGCCCTCAAATCTTCTACCGGTCTCCAAGGCGTTCCCTTGTCCATTCGTAAAGCGCAGGCCACCGTCCAAACACCGGCACTCAAACCTTCATCGTCAAGAATCATTGGCTAGAAATTTTACATTTTGAACTCCACACTAGAAGATTGCCGATACTTTACATTTTGAATATATTTGAAATGTCTGACTTCAGCTTTTCTAAACAAGAACACATGCATAAATTTTTGTAGTCTTGTTTTGTAAAAAATAGAAGCAAATCTAAGAAAAAATAGCTTATCCTAAGGATTTGGGCATAGTTTTGGTTTAGAGGGATGCGAAATTTGTAGCCAAAATACAGCCAAATTTGGGGCAAAAATTGATCCCAAAAATTTGGGCATAATGACAAAAGGGAAGCACCCCATACCGAGGGTGTTTGCCAGAAGGCGAGCGATTCCGCGGCCGAAAAAAGAATACCTCGCCAGCCAGTCATTTACATAGGGATTTCTCTTTTGCTTTGTAGATGGCACAAAAGAAAATATTGAGCTGTAAATTTGCCCCCGGGGGTTTTTGGGGTCGCGGAATTGTTTGGAAATGTCCATTTTATTAGATATGAGGGTCTTGGTTGGTTAAACAAGCAGCTAAACAAAGAGAAGAACAGCGCAATGAACGGTGTCTTCTTGTCTCTTGATTTTCTCAGGATTGTGTGCTCAAATTAAATTCTATGGGTGATGGGAATGAAACCAGCGCTCACATATCTTTCCAAAAAGAAAAAGATTGCAAGCCTCAACCAATAAGTGTTGTAAACTGTTCGAAAGCCCTGAATCTCCTCTACAAAATACTGCAAAAAGATTTTGAATTGGATTGATTATTAGGGACTTGGTGACTTTTAAGTTGAAAGGTCAAAAATTATCATTTTCTGGAAAATGTATTTCTGGTAATAGAAACGCCCGGGTTTTTCGTTAGGAAATACCGCCAATTAAAGTCATTTCAAAATAACATAAAAGAAAAGAACTCCTTTTGTTTGTTCGTCTTCTAGAGCTAAATCTTTGTTTTTTGAAAAGGCCTCATTTTAGGCCAAAAACGGCTACTTTCAACTTTGGATTCTCATATCTCAATAGAATCTAAGCTGATCGTTTGAGTTTTGGTATAACTAATGAGTAATGTATATCCTTAATATTCTAGAAAAATTTCAAGCGAAAAGATCCGTGGAAGCGATAGTTGCCAGCAGGCGCAGGTACCCAAGTTGAGACTCGACCTGCGGTTACTTTTCAACACCAAGTCCCCAATAATCAACCCAATTCAAAATCTTTTTGCAGTATTTTGCAGAGAAGATTCAGGGCTTTCGAACAGTTTACAACACTTATTGGTTGAGGCTTGCAATCTTTTTCTTTTTGGAAAGATATGTGAGCGCTTTTTTTTCATTTTCATCACCCTAATATTTTATATAATTTGAAAGCTTAAAGTATCCTCGTTAAAATTATATAAAAAATTAATATTAATACCATCCTTAGCCAAAGTTATGGAGTACTCATTCCAAAGTATCTCTTTAACGGACTAGAAGCAAATTTTCATTTTCTTTTATCATCTAAGCAGCCATACCTTCAAAGTTGGTGTATCGTGCAGGATTGCCCCCGGAAACGTGCAGCCATATCCATGCGGGAGTGCCGCTCGACCCAGCCGACGAATTTGCTCCAATTTGAGGTAAAAATGTGAAGATAGATAGCTAAAATTTTGGACTAGATTTAATAGTTGTTATGCAACCTCTTCAAACATGAGGCAACATTGCGAATAGTTTGCATCGAAGTATGTATCAGGTCATCCGTTAGTGGTTTAATCTCGTTTCCCTCGAATTCGACCATCATCGACAACGTTGTTAACTAAAAGTTACAGTATCGCTTTGATAAGATCGTTTCTGAAAGTTGCACCAAGGAAAGGTAGCCCGACTGTTTTTAAAGTTAAGCCATCGGGTAAACTTGCCTGATAAAGTAGCTTAAAAGAAACATGATTTAGCTGCAGATTAAGATAGCCTTTCATATAGAGCACATTTTAAACAAGACTGTATATTACGATAGTTTTTCGATGAGTAGCAAATTACTATTAGTTGCCTAGATTACGGTAACTATGTCTCTAGGTGACCTTTACCGCTTGATAATTTGGTTTAAAATGGAGCCATAGATTAGTTTTTCATATAGGGCACCTGTTAAAAAGGACAATAGATTACGATAGTTGTTTAATGATCGTAACTTTTAGGAAACGCCTCAATCGAGCCATAGTATAAACCTCTTACATAGTTCATAATAATCCGTGGTCCATCTCGTTGATCGAATCTCTCAAGAATCGGTCGAAATCGGACACCATGTGTGAAAAACATACAAGCACTGGCCATCCCGCTTTCATACGAATGCTCGACACACCACAATGCATAACTAAAATTACTGTATTTCAGTATAAACACCATTTCCTACTCGACAAGTCGGTCGATTGTGTTTTCGGGGCGTTGCGAGAGAAAAGTCTCCATGACATCATCGGAATACGCGAGGTAATACAGACAAGTGGCCACACCGACTGCAGCCAGACATCCATTCGGAATCTTCAGCAACGCCTCGACCCCACCCATTTGCACAAACTCGATCGCGAACTTTCTGTGGACGAGCAGAGAGGCGACGTACTAAAAGCTATTTGATAGACAAAGATTATCTTGTCTACAATACTTCAGTGTAGACGTATTGCTAAGCTATTGTAGCTATTTTTTTCAAGGGATCAGTTCCCAATCCGGTCCGATTCAAATCCGTTTTGATAAAGAAAATGTAAAGGACTTTGACTATACAGTAAAACAGAACAAAAAATATTCGCATGTTAGAGTCCAAATATTCTTTAATCCCTGATTGAAATGAACGAGCTTATTCTTGCTGTTTTGTACTTCTTATTACTTCTAATGCTATTTGAAACTTTTCGGAATTAACATACCCTCGTTGCATCAAAAGTCAATCGAACATCCCTCGTTTTTCGTAGATCCAAGTACTCCAAAATCAACGGCAAAGCACCACCTTCATAGGCTTTCACGAGCAGCTAAATAATTTGCATTTAAAAAAAGCTTTAGCCCTTCGAAATACTAAAAAGTCTATAATTCCAAAAGTATTTACATCTTGATATTCCCCAGTTGGAGTGAGATATTGGAGGATGAATCTCTGATGCATCTCGATGGTCAATGGATGAACCTGGAAGGTTCTTGTTGCGAAAATGGTTTTCTCTGAAATACCTGATGTTTTCCAATAAGAAGCGGTAATTGGTGATACCAATTGGAATTACTTTGCACACTGTCGTCCGCTTGAGGGAAAATCGCCAAGTCCGAGGTGGAAAAGGCTTCTTCCTGAAGTGATCATTATGGCTAGGTTACGTTAAGTTTAGTTTTATAAAATTTTTAGTATGATTAGGTTATTGTAAGTTTAGCAAGTCTTAAAATTACAATTTTCCGGCGTTTCGTCGGCGGAGGACTGGTTCGACTGGGCAAGGACACTTTGGCTTGAGGAACGCGGATCGACGCCGAAAGACTTGGATCATATTCTAAAAAGTGGAATGTGGATGGTCAAGTTAGCCAAATAAAATCACAGAAAGTTTTAGTATTAGTATTTTTTACCGTAAGCCTTATTCTATTTAATACTTAGATAGATAAGCAAGTCCGGTAGATTGTTAGTCAATCCTTACCTGGTTTCGTTGCAGTCACTCGAAGATTTCCTGGAGCATGGTTGACTGTGGAATCAGCCTGAAATGGAAACATTTTCTAAGACAATGCGTTTTCTAAGGCTTAGAAGCTACCCTACTCAAACTGCAAATACTGTCAGTATTCTGTATCTCCTAAAGTATGCCAAAGCAAGTAAAGTATTAGTTGAAGCAAACGATATATTTAGTGTTAAAGCTTCAACATTATATTTTGCATACTAATCGTTGGGAGAGACCGGATTTCGGTATACACTACAGGGTGACCCATAATATGTGTTACTCCTTATATGAAGGCAGATTAAGTCGTAAATGTGTCAGATTACTTAAAGTTTTTTATAATTTCATTTTTATAGCATTTTTACACCTATATTCCAACTTTTAGCCCGATCGGTCGGCTATAAGGAAAAATTAGGGCCATTAGAAGCTCCGTAAATAAAAGCGTCTGGCACGATGTATATTGTCCTCTGAAATCGTGCTTTAAATGCTTAAAATGCTTCACATTCTTCCTCAAATAATGTTTTTTGCTTTTTCTATGTTAAGGTCATAAAGAAATTTTTGTTTGTACTATCATAGATTCAAATTTTAATTGCTTTAATTGTCGCCATGTTGAAAACGAGATGAAATAAGCTTATTTTGGGTTTTTTAAAGAATTCCAAAATCCATCAGGCCAAAAGCTTAAAGCAAAAAGTAATAATTTTAATTTCATTAACCTTTTTAAAGCACCAATAGCTAATTAAAATCACTGAAAATTTCAGTGCTTTCATTTTAATCACCAGTCTTTATGGACAAAAGCATCTCCGTGCTAGACGCTTTTATTCACGGAGCTTCTAATGGTCCTAATTTTTCTTATAGCCGACCGATCGGGCTAAAAATTGGAATATAAGTGTAAAAATGTTATAAAAATGAAATTATAACAAACTTTAAGTAATCTTACACATTTACGATTTAATCTGCCTTCATATAAGGAGTAACACATCATGGGCCACCCTATACTTACCATCAGATCAACATTCGCAAATGGCCCATCCTCACTTGATGTCCCGGCTTTTGTCTCGTTCTTTTCCCCACTGTGATTGTTTTCACCGAGCTTTTCGTGTTGAGCAATCATTTCATCCTGTAAGCAAAACGGTTTTCAACAAGCTTTTCTCAAACTTACTTTCAGTTCAGTCAAACGCCTCAGTGCGATCGGTATCAAGCGGGCGTTGTGCTCACGAAATTTTGAGGCGGTTTCTTGAACCTGAAAAAATTCAGAGATTATAGAGTTTCAGTTTCACTTTATATCAACTTAAATTAATGCTAAAATTAAAGCTATTCAATGTTCTTGCCTGAATACTTTTAGGCATTTAAGTCTAAGCCTTACCTCCATCACTGATGCCAGCAATCCCATCGCGTACGCCTTCAACACTTGCGAGTCACTCCGTTCGGCCCACGTGAATATTTGTGTAAGCAAGCTGTCGGGATCCTTAATAAGTAGAAATTTTTGAATATATTTTTAAAAAACTACCGAGAAAACGGTTCGATCCATTCCGGGAACACTGCTCAAGAGGACTCTCGATGCGGCGATTGTCAGTGGGAGATTGTCTCTTCCAAAGATATATGAGACGACTAACTGGAAAATTGATTTTATTAATCAACTGTAACAAAAATTGGCCTAATATTGCTTGTATCGTAGTAAAATATTCTAAAACATGCTTACCGTATGCATGAAATCATCGTGTCGATACAAATGCTTTAGAAGAATTCCGTATGGATGTTGGGGATGAGTTTTGCTTGGATGTCGCTCATCCAATGGATCCGGGTCTTGTTCAAGGAAATAGTTCATCGCTTTCTCGAGCAGCTCAGCCACTCTAAACAAAGTTGATCTGATGAGTTGCAAGTTGCGCATAGAAATTAGACCAGTTACCAGTCAATATCAATTAAATTGAACTTCAAACAGTTATCCATTTTTCTTCTTCCGTTAAGCCTTTCTAAATCCACTCACTTTTCCACCAATGGTGTTGGATCAAAGCCGGCCGTTCGGTGATTTGTTTCCCACGAGTCGAGAATTTCGTGCAGAATTGGCACGTCACTTTTCCCTAAAATCTTTGGATTATTGAATATACCAAACAAATAACTATCAATGTTTATCTTTTATATACTTGTTTAGTTTTCGAATCTTACAGTAAACATTCACTAATTTTAGCACACTAAATTCTTTTACCCACCTAGATCAAGGAGTTGTGTAACGGAGGTTGTGCTTCTGATGGTCGGATGATGGGTATGGGAGTGTGAGTGCTCATCGGCTTGTTGCAAGAAAACGGGAAGATCAAAATCTTCGATGTTCGAGCCATCCATGGCTGCCTGAAGATCATAAGCTCAAATTGGTCAATGCAAATTTTTGAACGAAGCAAAAAAAACATCAGTTCAAACTTTTAGTTTGTCAAAATTCAAAGACACAATTTCGAAAACTAATCCGATTACAAAAAAAAACGTAGAGTCTAATTGTGCGTGGGGTTTATAAGGCAAGTAAAGCTCCTAGATTTCTTTCGAAAAATTGTCAAGCTTAAGAAAAATCAACTAAGGCCCGGATTGAAACGCTAGCACAAGCAATAAAAGCACAAAACATAAGCAACAATGGCAACACAAGCAATAAAAGCAAAGGAAAAAAGTGCGTTTCAAGATTTTTGAAGGTTACAAAAATCAGTCTTCAAACATGATAAATCTCGTGGAATACATTTGCTAATGAGGTGGATTTTCTTTTAAAATCATTTCCATTAACTTTATTTTATTCTTTAGTTTTTCGCTTTTCGAAAATCTCTTAGGCTTCTGAAAATTAATTAAAACGGGGAATTTAAATTTGAAAATCAAAAAGGGATGCAAAAGGAATGTAAACAGCAAAGATAGTTTGAATGTGATTTGGATGGCAGTGTAGGGGAGAGGGAATGGAAAAAAGGGGTGGCCTTTTAATGAGATTCTTACAATTGTTACGGACCAAAGTTGCGATTAGACGACTTTAGACCTATCTGTTTCGAAAATAGGTTGGCTACAATTATTAGCAAAAGGGATGGGTGCCAAAAGATATCTAAAGATAAAGCCGACCAAAAGCTGGATGACTACAACCTGCAGAAATAAACTGTCATCAAGATTAGAGTGCGTTATGGCTAGTTCGTTTTTAAAAGGCGCCTACTGATTAGGGGTAAAATACCCCTAATCAGACGGCCCGTTTTCATTGGATCAACCCAATTTTGGTATAATTTAACAAAAAAAGTCACAAGGGTTAGTCAAGGATACCAAAATTGGGGGGTCCATGCCAAAACTTGCCATTTTTTGGCACACCAAAAACATTTAAGTGCTTTGTCCTTTCGATATTCGAATCCATCTGTGTCGTAAATCAGTGGCCGTTCTTTTTGGCTTGTCATTCTACCTAGACAAATGAATTAATTACTAACAAACCAGAAAGCTGGTAAAACAATGTCAACAAATCATAAAGCTGATAAAATATACCTTAACCTCCACGTTTTTCCTTTTGACACACGCAGCAACGCCTCGCTCGATTTCTAATTGTGACTGATACCTGCAAAACGAAAAATGGCTAAGTAATAAGTCACACATCCACAAAGTTGACAAATATACCTCAAAACTTCACGTTGGTCCGTGATGATAAGCGACGTCACAACGATGATGAGCATGCAGCAACGTCTCGCTCGGCTTCGGATTGCTTTGTTACCTGAAGAAATAAAAAGTTAGTAAAAACGTTAAAAAACAGACCGTAAAAGGAAAAAGTTTGGTGTTTTTGGTTAAAATCACTTTAATAAATCGCTATCGTGAATTTCTCTACGTAAAACTTTAAAAAAAAGGATTCATCGCCTTTTTTACCCTAAAAACACAAAAAGCAGACAGAAAATCGTCGGTCTTTGTGATTTGTGATCAAAACGCAGAATATTCAGTTGACAAAAGTTAGCGCACTTTAGAACGCCCTGTTTGACATTTATTTGTTTAAGCAATTATTCTTTTGAAAGGAACACACGATACAGTTGTGAGTAGTGGAAATGAAAGAGGAAAGAGAGGAATTCATAAAAAATAACCCAAAAAATGACAAAGTCTAGGTGAGCAAAGTGTACGGAATCGCTTTGCCGATACAAAAAACAGGTTTAGCCATTTGCACAAAGAGAGGGGAGTAGAAGAATCAAATAACCTTTAAAAACTTTAAAGGCTTGAACTTTTAGAGTATTTACAGTGTTAAGTTTTTATTTTTGTGATCATTTGGATTAAATTCAGCTATAAAATTACCAAATTAGCTATGTCTTTTACCCGCGGCGACGATGTGGCCGCGTCGTTTGGCGATGATCAACCGGGAACTTCTGGGAAGGGATCGCTTGTGGAAATTTTAAGGGAAAATACACAAGTTATCTTCAGCAATTGTCGTTTAAAACGTTCACCAGGAAGCGGACTTGGTTACAACAAAAATGTCAAACAATTGAATGTTCCGAAAGATTTCAAGGTAAGGCAACGAATATTTTCTTTCAATTTCATGCTCAATACATTCGTTTTTTTCAACTTGCTTGCTAATAAAGTGTTTCTAAAATCACAAAGTAAAACGCCACATTTTCCGCCACATCACTTTACAAAATTTTTTAAAAAGCATTCATGGTCATATAAAAACTCGAAGTTAGAGTTTATTCACTCTTCGGGGGTGTCACACAACTTACATTATCAATGTTTTAGAAAAAAATCAGAAAAACAAAGTGCTCTCAAGGGTCGATGAAGTTTATGCACTTTTTCTTTTTCTTTTGTCTTTTTTTTGAAGCGAGAAAAGGCTGTATTCATCTCGTTTTCAATCGCCCTAGAGCGTTGACAAGACAATTGTAATGAAATCGCTTTTGAAATTTTTATTTAATCAAAAATTAATTGGATAGAATTGGTCAACTGAAATCTGAAACTTTCCCATGACATACATATTCCATAGACACAACTAAGGAAATAAACCGAATTGAGTTTCATTCACTCATCGCCAAGAAAATCGAAAAAATGTAAAAAAATGATGCGTAAAATGCTTACAAACCACTGTAACTTTTTTTAGCATTGATATTTTTCAGCGTGTTTTTGTCCATTCCAAAGCTCTTGAGATTCTCTATTTTTTGAGTTATAGATCATGTCAATCCGGCAGATTTGAAGCAAGTTAGAAGTGTTTGTAGTGCCCATATCTATTCGGAAAGACTTTATTTTGGCAATCATTCCAGTCTATATGAATGCTAATTTCGATCTTTAAATATAAATGAAGATCAACAAGTACCACTATCATTTAGCTGAATATCAAATACGACCTTCTCTTTCATTTCACTGCAAATCGTGCAAATCGCGTGCAAATCGTGCAAATCGCGTTCAAACTTGCCGTCCAAACTTTTACACACATTCAAGTCTGATATTGCTAGGTCAGTTTCTGCAGCTTTAAAGAGATAAATTTCAAAAGTTTACCTCATTTTTGTAACCCTTTCAAGACATTGTCAAGTAAACACTTGAACACTCTATGGTTATTTACTGATTTTTCAAAGATTTTTGAGATTCTTTCAAGAATGTGAAGATGCGAGAGACTTATGAATGCAAATTGGATTCCGAGGTGGACCCACTTTTGGGGAGAGTGGAGAATCTTAAAGATTCAGCGTCGAAATCTTGTTTCCCTTTTTCCATACAAATGAAAGGCTGTGTACCTTGCGATCAAAAGATTTACTGAGTTAAACTTAAAAGGAATTTGGACTACGGTAAAAGCGTCAGCTCTCAACTACCGTTTTCTCCAATTATCTACGATCTTTCATAATCTACCCAGGCTTTACGTTAGCTTGGCAATTTGGAAAAAAAACTATAGACGAGGTTACGGTAGCACAGTCTACTTAGGAATCTTCCATTAACTCAAAAGGGTTTCATTATCTCAAGTGATGTTAACAGACTTTGATCAACATTTCAAAGAGTTTCTCATGGCATCTCTGGAATGTAAATGCATGTGTTTTTCGATGTGTCTTGAACTCGAGCATTTCAAAGAGTGACCCACAAAAAAGCAACGTTCAATTACTCATTTCCTATCCGTTTTCCAATTCCTTTTCAACAAAAGGTATTGGATGGTCAGCTGTTGTTTCCAAGAGACATTCCAAGCGTGCCTCTTGGTCCTCGCTTTAGGTGAAAGGGTTTTGCTTTAGCTTTGGAAGGGGATGTCCCTCCCCCAGGGAGATCTCCCCCTCCCCTCCGCTTTTGATGAGGAGTGACTTCATCGCATTCCATTCCTTTCCATTCTTCCTCGAGACTTCTTCCCTAACAACATTCCCCAACAAAACAGTATTTAAACTTAAAATGTTAAGCTGATCACTTTTCATTTTAGCAAATCGGAAGGGAACTCTTACTTATAACAAAGCAGCAACATAGGCTTTTTTATCTTTTGATAAACTTTTGCGCTACTTGCTTTTGGATAACTAAGAGTCGAATAGAAAGCACTGATTGTTTTCTATTTTGCATTAGATTGAATTCTTTAACTAATAAGTTTCCTTTAATAAAGTTCCTTCTATTGTATTTGCTTTGGATTGTAATCAGCACTAGTTTTGCACTAAAACACATTGACCACTTTTAAATCTACTAATGGCTTTCTACCATAACCCTTTGCTATTTTGCACTATTTAAGCATTACCTTTTAGTTATTCAGTGATTTTTATATCCTATTAGCGTTTAGGACATTGTTACCAGTGTTTATTCTTCGAACAACACGATTCATGATCCTATTTTGAATTCTTTTTCAACTTTTATCAAGTAAATAGAAATATAAAACCAAACTAACTAAACTGAACTACAATCAGTTTTCTGAACTTTAAACCATTTGATAACCATTCATTGTGTTGATATAGATTGATCAACTCTTTCCACTTCCTCAATATTTCCCATTGTTGCATATTTCCCATTTATCTTCAATGTGACAGTCAACGATCATTCGAATTTCTCTAGGGATTTCCAGGGGAATCATCGAAAAAATGGAGGGAACAAGCCGGGATTCGACCTCTTTTCGACGCTCTACGGCATTGATCCAGAAAAAGAAAGAACCTTTGAAAGAAATCCTTCGTCGAGCAGAACCAAAAAAGAGAAAAGAACGAAAAAAAATGTGAAAAGTGATGGCTTACGCTCTGTTTCTCTATCTAATCTTTCTTTTTCTTTGTCTTTTTTCCGTTTCTTTCGCTCAGGCCACAAGTTGAAGAAGTGCACTCCATTGGGGTAACAACGATCACCCAATGGGTTCAGTTTTTGTATTAAAATCTTTTTTTAAAGTTCAAAACAGGATTGATTTATTGTCTAAATAGTAAATATAATCTAAATGTTGATAGCTAAAGTTTTTGAATAGAAGTTGTTTTTCTAAAAAGTCTATATTCCTCAAAGTAGACTGTAATCTGGCTAGTTTTTTTCATTTGTAAAGGAAAATTTGTCTACTCTAAGAAATCTAAGATAACTTATATATTGAAATAAGTTTTTAAAAAGATATTAAGCTTTAAAGAACTTAAGGATTACTGTACAATATAAAAATACTGTAACTATTTTAATAAAGCGTCTATTTTTAAGCTTCTATCCAAAATTCGTTTCCTTGCACTCGCTACAGTATACTCAAGCCAGTTTAGGGTTATTAGAATACGTTAGAATTAGAATAGAATGCAAATTAGCATTTTTAAAAGTTGAATTCATCTAGTACTGGCTGATTGCTTAGCCTGTACCCAAATGATTCTCGATGATAATTTACTTATTGTTTGCTTTTTTTTTCAAAACTTTAGTTTTATAGCCTATGTCAAGTTTTTAGAGAAGAAAAATGCTTCTACAGTCTCTCATATTCTTTGCTTTACTTTCTCTCATCTCATCGTTCACTCAAACAGCTCAACGCATTCGAGAACATGAAGAACTTCAGGTCGATATCCCTGCAGCCGGACAAATCAAGTAGTGTATTTGAAAAAAATTTCTGGATAACATTGAAAAACATTCTAGATATCTAAATCTCACATAAACTTTATATAATCTTTCTATATCGAATTTTAGACTCTACTATCGAGTCCGAGATCCGATGTCAGCTCTGTTCGTCGTCGTGAGCCCATGCGGAGCTCCCGTTCACTTCCAAATCTACAACATGAGAACAAGTAGGGTTTTAAATACAGTTTGAACTGAATGTATTAAGTGATAAGTAATTGTGTATTCAATTTCTTAAGTACTCAGGTATTGATTTCAGATGTGATCCCATTTGGTGACATCACGACGAGTCCCGCTCTCTCACTCATCTATGGCCAGCAAAAAGCGTCAAGAATCAACTTCTACACGCATCGAGTTTTAGCTGGTATTTGTATGCTATGTTTTCCAATATTGTTCCTTTTTAGATCGTCTTCTGATTGTTTTGAGTGCTCCGACAAGCGCATCTGCCCGCGTTTTCATCTCGACCACTCAAAAAGCGCTCGATGAACAGGTAAACTTGACGGGATTGCGTTATTTGATAATGCAACTAAGCTACAGTACTCCATTTGCGCCATTATTACAGTACTCCCTAGCCTAGACAAATACAGTACTCTTTTCAATAATCCAAGCTGAGTGTAGTACCGCAATACTCTTCCCAACAATGCACCACTGTTACAATGATAGTACCGGTACCTTTTAGGCAATTCAACTGAATTACAGTAACCTTTTCAATAACCCAGTTACAGTACCCTCCACTGCCAGAAGATACACGGCTGGGACACGCCGTGGCTCCACAAGAGCAAGATGCAAGTGCGCTTATTTCATGGAAAACTTCGAGCAAGATCAGGTTGGCTGAAAAAGGGCTAGGTGAATCGATTAAATTAGAATTACTGATTAATAAATAAGCAAGTCTATAAGTCTATAAGCAAGTCTGAAATATTTAAACTATGTAGACAATAAACAAGTTTATCCGGATTGCTCTAGAAAAGCCCCCATCGGAAAGTATCGCTTCTGTGCGGTGGTTTCGAAAACGGAAAACGAGTACGCTGTTTGTGATCACTTGCACGAGGGATTGGAGGTAAAAGCGGATCATTTTTCAGCTCTAATCAATATTTAGAGTATTCACTGTGTGGAGAGTGATAGGAATCAGATGCGAATCGACAAGTTGAGGTGAGATTTGAGATGATACCAATAAAATCTCCTAGCTATAGGTCACATACGAATTCCAGACTTGGTCAACAATATTTTGTGAGCGTTTTCGTGCGAGACTCAACAACTGGAGCCGCTTCTTCTTATTCAACCCTTCAATTGTCTATTCCATCAAGCACAAATGAGAAGAATCTCGCGGTCACACAAAAGCCATCTGAGGCAAGTAAAGGAAGGATTACTGTATTGTAAAGATACGAGAGTGCTACAGTAATCTGTGTCTCTTTTTATGGTCAACTATTTTGGTATACTGTAGCGACACAAGGGATTTGATTACTGCACAGTAAAAATACAAATACTGTAAAGAACTGGATATCTTTTGATGGCTTGAGATTTATTTGGGTATACTGTAGTGAGAATAATGACTAGCTCCAGTATTATTATCGCTTTCTAGGCTGTGGTTTTGCAAGATGGAGAATTCGTGCAAGGCGATGTGCCGGCTGGAAAAGGCTCTCTTCTTGGCTACGACATGAGTCTCGATGATGCAAGAACGGCAAAACGAGTGAGTCTTTGATATTTCAAATAATCAAAAATGATCTATTTCGTACTAAACTTGAAACCTAAACGTAGCCAGGTCATTTCCACCATTAACAAATGTTGACGACTATTCGAAGATTGAGAACAACTATCTAAAAATCTATAAAATTGCCTTAACCTCCTCCAGCGTCATCAATCTATTTTTACCCCCGAATCGGTCATGTTTTTATCGTTTGGGGGAAACAAATTTGATGAGCGGCTGATTGGGGAATTCTTCCTGATTGAGGAGGCAGGTGAGGGCCAAGGAGGGATAGGTAAAAATACCTGTGCACCAGGTTATTTTCGTGCTCTTCCGGGCCGACAACTGACCCCGGGGGTGACGTCAAGAAATTCCTCGGCGCTTGGAGGATTTCTCTTGGCTCTTTGAAGGGGAGTCTGTAGGCTGGGCAAGAGATGCGCCACCTGACACAGAAAGGAATGCCCGAAGAAACAAGCGATCCTTTCTCTAGCTTTCAATATCCTTGCAACCCCTCAATGTTCACACAACAACTTTCTCTTGGTGTGCCGGTGGAGGTGATACCACGGGATTAGCGCTTGGAATTGAATTGGGGAAAACAAATTGAATAACAAGATGATATCATGAAGAGCTAGTGGGCCAAAAAAATGGGGGAGAATTGTGAAAGCTAATCCATCCAAGTGCTTCAAGCTATTTTGATGGGTAAACCTGATGGGCTAAGGCTTAGCCTAAGCCTGAGCAAGGCCAAAGCCAAAGCCAAAGCCAAACAAAGCCATCTTCCAGGTATTGCTCGTCGTGCACTCGTGCAGCGGATTCATCCGGGTGAATATCTATCGAAATGGGCGCTTGTTAAAGAAAAGTGAAGTGTTCTCGGGATTCCGAAGGTTCGCTGAGCAATTGGAAATTGATAATGAAACAATTTCAGATTCTTGGTTTTGAATCCAAACGGTGGCAGGCTTCGTTTCGAGGTGATCAACGAGGAGCGCAGAGGGAAAACGGTGAGATTGTGGGCGTCAAGTCGACCAACGCAATCGCCGTATCCGTTGCTGCCCGATGACACATCGTGGGTTTAAAAACATAAATTAAATATCGAAATTTCTAATAGCCAACTCATTTTCCCGTTTCAGAGTGCGTGTCTCTCGTCGCACCTGTCAGTCGACAACTCTGCAATGGGTGAGAGCACCGGATGACGCTATTGAGTACTGTCTCTACAAACGGCTTGAATCCGCTCGTTTCCTTGAGCACCTTGTCAGCAAGGTGTGAAATAATCAAAATATTCAATGAACTCAACAATTGTAGGCTGATGACTTGTGCGCTGGTGGTTTGAGTTCATCGCTGGTTGGCTGCTATTCGCCACGTGGCCCACGAAAGGGCAGAGAAGTGAGAATCCCGGACGACTCGAGTGCCGAAGAGCAACACACGGGATTGATTGAGACCCGGGTGGATCGACTGATTCCAAATACCACTTACAGGTTCGATATACTGGTGTCACGATGGGCGAGTGGTTAGGAGTCTTGTATTGTAGAGATTGTAGAGGTCATGGGTTTGATCCGGGTGGCTAGAAAATTTGCTTTTTTTCCCATAAACATGGGTTTTCTCTTTAACGTTTTTGAAGCAGTAAAGGCTGTGTATTTTTCACATTATTCATTTTGAAATGTATACTTTTAAAAGTCGATTTCAAATCATAATCCTAATTGTCTAAAAACTCGTGTTTCAGATTCGACCTTTTGGCTCGTCCAATCAACCGCTCGAACTCTCAATTTCTTCCCTATCGAACCGTTTGGGTTCGGACGGCGAAAACGTGTTAATTTTGTTGAGATTTTACTTTAAATATCTTGAGAATACTGTAAAATCTCAGTACCATACAGTATCTGGAGCAATACTGGATAGCTTTTACGTTAAAAGAATTCATGACAATGATTCTGTTTTCTCTAAGCATACTGTAGAAAGATTGGGTTCATTTGTGGCTGTTCATTGGTGGCTTTACAATAATTTTAAAGCCATATCTCATTGTCAGCTTTTTACTTTACAATCTATCTGCAATTTTTTTTCAATCTTCACTAGATTCGCTTATCGACGAGCCAATAAATGACTACGGTAGCAATGACAAGATTTAGACTGTTCAGTGATCTCTATTTGATACGAGTTACCGTAGTTTAATGAATGATTACGGTAGAAATTGACACCATTTACATGATTCATTTCATTAAGTTTATCGATAAGCAAGTCTAGTCCACAAATCTCGTTTCTGGTCCTATCAAAAGGGGTTTCCAACGGGTAATCCAATTATTTCTACTATACAATTGTTGAAACATTAAAGATTTTGATCTCATTCTTGCATTCCATCATTTCTTTACCTGTTAGTCTTTTTGTCGGGTAGTATTTTATTGAATAAACTGTAAACTTTATTTCATTTTTTGGAGTTTTTAAAAATACTAAAAAAAACACACAGCAATACTACGGTAACACATGCAAAATAAGATACAAATATTTAAAAAAATATTATGCTTTTTGGGATGAGGTCATTGGAAACTAAAGCTTTCAATCGATTGTGTGGGAAATTTTTGAGATTCAAAAGGATTTCGAAACAAGAAAATGAAGAAAAACTGGAGAAAGAATGGAGATTGACGGGAGATTTATTAGGAGGGAAGAACACAAAAAGCGAATCATTTACACGTGTGCACGGTCACATCATGAATACACTCTTTGCATTTCACCTGAAAATCGTTGAAAGTTTGCATTTTATTGTATTGAGGAAAGAGAAATCTAAGAGAAATTGTGGGCAAATTCATAAAATAAAGCTACGGTAATAGACTATTTCAAAGTTGTGTTCGAAGGGTTCAGACGCTTTGAAACGTTGGGCCAGCTACCGTACACTTTTAAGGGATAGAGTAGCTAGGCCTAGAGTAGCTAGGCTTGTAGTAGCTAGAATTACAGTAGCTAGACTTACAGTAGCTAGGCTTGTAGTAGCTAGAATTACAGTAGCTAGACTTACAGTAGCTAGGCTTACGTTAGCAAGGCTTACGATGGCAAGGCTTACAATAGCTAGGTTTACAATGGCTCGGGTTTAATATTTAAACACTCTAAACCATGTTCCGGCTTTGCCCTAGATCTTCATGGGTCCTTCTTGCTAGATGTGACACATTTTCTACCAATTTAGATGTTACAGCAATCCCTACAAGAGACTATTTGGGTTACTGTAGCAGTGATAGTAATGCTTCCCTTTAAAGCCTCACCTGACAACACCAAACGAATTTGCATTGACACTGCGTCGTTCTTCTCTCCATTCGAGTGTTGTAACTGAAATTAAGGAAATAAATTTCATTCATCAATAAATCATTCATCTAACAAAAGTTTGCCTCACCCTCTTCCACAGCACAACAAATCACAATCATCTGAGTTGTGCGATCTGTGGACGCATTCTCGGCCACTTGTCCCCAAAATGCCTGCACAAAATTTGTAATCCTATTTATTATAAGCGAGAGTACAGTACTGGACAATGAAATATCATATTTGAAAAACGATCGTCACGTTCGCACGTCTGTAACTTCCTTGTCTTTAAGTTTAAACTATTAGTGTTATACATTTTCTGAAAGCTCTTTTCAAGGGCTACACAATGGTAACATTAATATTTAGAAATACCGTACTTTTTGACGCATTTCAGAGCGCGCGAAGGTGACGGTCGTTTTTCAAATATGATATTTCATTGTCCAGTACTGTATATATGTGTGTGTCTGTGTGTGTCTGTCTGTCCCGCTGTTTTAGAAAAAACGGCTGAACCAATCGATCTGAAAGTTTGACATTATAAACCTAACTTTTTGCGTAGTTTCCAAAAATCTAATAATATTTGACACATAATTTGCCCGTTTTTCCTAAAAAGCGAAATTAAAGAATACATGCTACCGCGTGACCGAGTGGTAGTGCTTCCCGGCGTCCGATCTGCCAAGTTGAGCAACGTTGGGCTCGGTTAGTCTCGGGTTCGATCCCGGCCCCGATGGAATCTTTTTTTGCTTTCTTTGTTTTTACACTTTTTGAGTAAGAAAGGTCACGGGTTCGATTCCATTAGGGGTAAAGAAAATAAAATCCGTCTACACGGAGCCAGAAAACCCGCCGTTAGGCGGCTTTTTCTGGCTGATATTATATAAAGCAAGGTTTTCAGAGTTGATTTTAGATTATTAAACAAATTAGTGCCATATAAATCAAAGATATCTTGAATATTTGTACCGTAGTCTATTTTCTATTCTGCACAGTTTAGTTGATTTCATTTTATCCAAAAACCCCACCAAGCGTATCATTTCTTTCGCAATAGGATGGAGAACGAAGTAAATATGTCAACTCGTTGCCTCGAATCTCAAGCTGAAAATTGTTCTTTGAACAATTGCTGAATTAAGAGTTTGAATCTTTGATTGGAATTTAATTAAACTTTGATTGAAATGTTTAAAGAAGCAAGAAAATCTCTGACTTGTCTCTGTCCTCTTTCCTTCCTTCGAAGCCTCTTCCGAACTTTCTTGGCTACCTGAAATTTTTGAATTCCTATTTTTCAGACTTTGGAAACAAGGTGCTCATGCAAAGCAAAGAATTCAAAGAACTGCTTAAAACAGCTTACAATTTAAAGTTGAAACTGTTCTGTAAACTGTAGTACGTACTGAAGTACGATACAATGCAATACTCTAGAAGTTGAGTGCAATGCTGTAGATGTACAGTACTCAAGAGTCACTTCAAAATTGTCAGTACTGTACTATTCTTACAGCGCTTATACAGTACAGCTTAGTTAAGCCAAAAACTCTTCTAAGCCTGTTTCTCAAAAAAATAAGAACACGCGAAACAATACGGCTTCTTGCTGTGTATCCAGTGCTGCCAGGGTGGATGTGACAAGTGAAGAACTGGGAGTGGAAGTGATTGAAGGAATGGTTGTGGTGATGGTGTTGGGATTGGATGAGATTGGTGTGGGCTCCACCTGGACGGCAAAGTTGTCGTATCTCTTCTTCAGCATCTCCGCCACTTCGCTGAATTTCGGCATCGTCAACCAGCACGTTTTGAACTCGCAACTCCCCGACACTCCGTGGCAGCGACATGTTCGACGAATGTTTTGAGCGATTTGCTGAAAACATTGATCTTAGACTTCTTTTACAAACAACTTTCCTCCAAAAATTCTATGCTTTATGCAAGTTTTTCACATCAAACAAATGGGGGTCTATGACCGACTGGCTAAGTCAGTCAGTCTGTTTCTTAGTCGGTTTCTTAGTTAACAGAATTCAAAAGCAATTTTACCAGACCGCCCAGGCTACAAATCAAATTATGATCTTGTTTTGCCTGCCCTAGCCAGATTTAACTTTACTGTCGGTCTAGCCCAGAACCCAGACCTGAACCAGGTTGGACTCTTGTCGGGTTCTATCTTGACCTGACTGGGGTTACAGGCCCTAAAACCCGTTTGGGCATATTCCTGTTTGTAAATGAAAAGAAATAGGGGTAAAAATTTGCGACTAACAATAAGGAACTGTGAATTTTTGTCCTCTGCTCACCTCTCGACCAACAAAGAAATTATGCTTATGAACGAGATGTTTCGCGTCTCCATCTTTCTCGAATTCCCTCGTCTCCCAATCATCCAAAAACCTAGAGGATTTCTTTATGACTACATGTATTGACTTATTTCAAACCTTCGCGCAAATTTCTTCCCATAGGGAACATTGTCCGAGCATCCGCCCCATGAAAAATGCTCGATTGATCGTTGCCCGAGACGGTGGTGAGTCGGATTCCGGGGTTCTTGTTGCATTTCCTTCAATGAATTGTTGACTATTAGATTAAATACTAAGTCTTTCACCCAATTTTTAAATTTCTAATTGAATATATCTACCAAATAAAATACAGTTTTTTTTAAATAGCCCAATCATTTCTCTTGCAAATGATTTTTGAAGGCTTCTGAAAAGCTTTGTTTTGAAGGTTTTTTCATCAGAAAGAAGCCGATTGTTCAAAAACGACAAGGTTCGATGATGCAGTTTAGACCGTTTCTTTCAATGAAACCTATTTTGATGACAAAAAAATGAAAATAAAAAAGATAGCGCATAAAAAGTTAGATCTACAATCAAAATTTCAAAATAATCTGTTTAGCGGTTTTCTTTATTTTGCTCATTTTTCAATATTTTCGTTCTTGTAGATTAATTTAAAAGACTAAAAATAGTTTTAAAATAAAAAAAGAAGTAAACGATAAACATTATTGATGAAATGATAATGAATTATAATAAAATTATAATGAATTATAATAAAAGAAATTGTTTGGTATTTCATAGATTTTTTTTTTAATTTTCCATTTAGCTAATGAAATGTAAAGTGCAAGACTATAGATAATAGATAAAATAAAGAAAACTCACAATGGTGTCAGTGTATCGTTGAGTGTCCGGTTTTGTGTCACATCCGCATTCAGATAGGTTTCCAGTGCTGCACCCCTTCGTCACCTCATAAACGAGGCCGGCAGTGGAGATCGCTGTGAGAAAGGCTCCTTCACGGGTGGCTGAAATGTCAGTCTATGAGTCTAACGTTCATTCTTCCGTTTTTCCAGTGTTACATTTACAATTTGTGATCCTTAAATGATACAAAACCATCCGAAATCTCACCCGATCTGAGTGTTTTCCCCAAAATATCCTTGAATGTCCCATATGATGTATCGGTGACCTCATGACGATCAGAGCAATTCCATCTAGACAATCATGTTGGAAATTCTCTAAGAAAATTTCATTTCCCTCACCTCTCATTTTTGAATTGATCTTGACAATGGTAGAGAGCCTCACGAATCCCCCGAGCCACATATTGAATTACCAATGGATTCTAAAATTTTATCGTTTTCATTAATGATCAATAGATCAATCGAATTTTAGGTTTTAAAATTTGGGAAGGCACCTCTGCACAAACATCTTTCTGCACTGGATTCAAACCAATGAGACGAGAGCAAAGTTTCGATGAATGGGTCGACCAATCGAGTTCCCGGGAGGGGGGAGCTTCGGTCGGGGTCAGAGCCGCTAGTGATCTAAAATTGAACACGATTTTGCATATAATTAGTTTTATGAAAGCTTTTTCAAAACTTACAACCAATTATGTGGCAATTTCGGTAATGATGGGGACGATGGATGGGCGGAGATGAAGCCGATCACCGCCAGCCACCACATTTCCGCCCACACACGAAATCGATGCGATTAAGCGGGGAAAAGGGCCCGACCAATCAATGCAAACTTTTCTGGAATAAGAAAATTGAATATTAAAGATATTACTGTAAAATGGCAATGAATTCTTGTAAAAGTTGATGAGTTTCAAAAATAAAAGAGCTTTGAATTGGTCGAGTTGGGCTGTTGATCTTGAAAAGTTCAAAACCAGACTCAAATTGTTCAGTTTGATCGAGTTTGTCAAAAATTCCCAAAGAATAAAACACAAATATCCTTGTTCCCATGAAGAACACATATTTTTACAGCTCAACCAAGAAACGTTGTAAAGATTCGTTGTAAAAATTTGCGGATTACAAACAGATCAACAAGATGAACGCATGATGAAATGCAAAAAAAAAAGATTGAGATAAATTTTGAGCGAAAAGAGAATCTTTCCCAAAATGGTCAATGAGGGGAACGAATCGTAAATTATGGATGAATTGATGGGGGAAATCACATTTCGGTGAGAGAAAGGGAAAGATTCAATGGACTTCCGGCTAAGAAATTGGTGGAGGTTTGATGAAAAGCGATTAACTGGAGATAAAGTAAGCATCAATAAGCATTCTTGACTGAATAGATCAAAGGTATTCACTCACAATCAAACTTGCTCAACTTCACTCGCTAGTTTGACGGTTTTACATAGTGGAAAGCATTACTTTAAATAAAATGGCAATGTTTTAAAGAGAGACTTTATTCAGTTTGTAGTTTTAAGAGTAAATTAGAGCATTTACTGTATAGAAAACTATAGATTTGAACTATTATGAAATTTTAAAAATGAGAAAAGACAAAAGGAAATGAACTAGACTTGCAGAACTGGACTGGACTAGACAACTTATTGATTAAAAGTAGTGCAGAATAGAAATGGATTACAATAGAAATATTCAAGATATTTGTGACTTTTATATGGCACTAATCTGATGGAGAATCCACAAACAGACAAGTTTTACATCTCAAAACACAGCATTGAAGCGTCAGAGTTAAAATAGTTGAAAAAGTTTCAAGAAAATAGCAGAAAAAAGGAAAAGATCTATTTCATTGACGTATCTAATTGATAAATATTGGTAAAACTAAAAATGGGCACAATGGACAGTTCGAAAACTTCCAAGAACTTCAAAAAATGGGTATCAGATCAATTCTAGGTGTAACAGATGGAATAAGATTCGCAAAACGCCTTGTTGCTTCAGTTGATTTGAAATTCGAGAAAAGCAAACGATGTTAGAGATTCCGAGGAGTGAAAACATGGATTGATCGATCAGAAAGAAAGAGGAAGAGAAGGGGAACCTCAACCTTCCCGTGATACCCATTTCCTCCCTTTCTTCACCTCGATCTCCTCCTGTATTTAACCTTTTCCTTTCTTTTCCCTTAAATCTTTTCCTCATCTCTTTCTCTCTTTTTTCTCCTCCCTTCTCTTCTCCGCATTTACATTTATGGGCAATAAAATCGTCGGCCGAGAAGACAGCCGATCAAAGGGATCCTCCTTCTCCTTTGCTTTCAAAACCACTAACAGGAAGAGTAAAAAGGGGTATTTCAGGGACGATCACTGAAGAGAAGGGTCCTCCTTTTGAAGGGAGAATCCATCCAACCTTTTCCCCTTCTCCTATCGTAAACCCACACGGTTTTTGTGAAGTTAACCTTTTGCCTCAAGAAACGAAAAACTTTTGGCGGAAAAATAGTCATCACGGGTTACGAAACAGTGAAATTATACAAAATCTAGAGATCAAAAATATTAGAAGAATTCTGGAGTTAACCTTTGCCTCAAGAAACGACTAACAGCTTGATCTAATGTTTTTGAAAATGAAACAACTTTTGAAAGCTACTGTAAACTTGTGTCTATCTGATTCTGTGCAAGTTCAGATGATAGAACTAATCTATCTACCATTAGTTCACTTACTAATGGTAGATAGATTGCGGTAGTTTTCAAAAAAACAAATTTTAGAAAACTGAGAAACACAAAGACTGGAAAGACTGGAAGAATAAAGCTGTAATAAAAATGGAAATCATGCCAGAGGTTTAAGTCAAATAAAGAAGCTAATTGTGAAGAGTAAAGCTAATATTGAAACCGATTTTATAATGAAATAACAATCGAAATGTTTGGAAAATGAATGAGTGTAAGGAATGAACCTTTTTACCAAATTTTCCTCTTCTTTCCATCCATATGTTTCCACTTTGATGTCTATCGAATTCAAGAAAAAAGGAAAACGTCGAGAAGAAGGCGGGATGGACTTTGACACTGAAAGAAGTAATCAATGACTCATCAAACATAATAGTATTGGTTTTGGGGTGAAAATTGAAAAAATTGAATTGATCAGGGACATCTCGAGCCCGCTCACCATAAATCTTGATTCTTGAAGACAGTGAAATCTACCAGTATACTACATCTACGCATATCATACAGTTTTAATACTGTAATCCTATCGTAATCTTGCAGAGATGATCTTGATTAGAACAAATTTAGATAAGATTAAAGTACTAGTACTAGTTTTATATAGAATGATCGATATATTAGCAATATAGTACCATGTTCTCGCGTACCACTTTAAGTACGACTTTAATAATATAATAATATAGTACCACTTTAATATACAAATGCTGTAGTGTAAAGCACATACAGTACTGGACAATGAAATATCATATTTGAAAAACGATCGTCACGTTCGCACGTCTGTAACTTCCTTGTCTTTAAGTTTAAACTATTAGTGTTATACATTTTCTGAAAGCTCTTTTCAAGGGCTACACAATGGTAACATTAATATTTAGAAATACGGTGAAGACAAGGGAGTTACAGACACGCGAAAGTGACGATCTTTTTTCAAATATGATATTTCATTGTCCAGTAGTGTAGTATCGTAGCATGTAGTACTATCTGCTATAAATAGTTCCAGTAATTTGAAAGATGGCCAAAACAATTTTCTTTTTAGAATTCGCAGATGCTGATGCTATTATTATCGATAAAAATGTAACCAACTACATTCAAATCTAGGTTCTCTTTCCCATCAAAAACACATCCTTTTCATCAATGGATGAATGTTTTGATTGAAAGAGCTCTCTTTTAGTCTCACCATCGACGGCTTTAATGAAGTGTGACCAACGTCTTTTGTTAAAATACGAAAAGATTGAGATCAGAGAGGGGAAGAGCCGGTGATACACCCATTTTCGTATTTGGCTCATACTAGCTTTGATCCCTTAAAAATAGACTTTTTCAGTATTAGCTTTAACCCATTGTTTCATTTGTTGACGCAAATTATCTTATACAGTCAGTGATCGCACTTTTCTTATAGAAATGTTTCACTTGTTGATTGAAGTTAGGCATTACTGCACAAGTTATGGTATTACTTACCGTAATACTATGAACGCACGAATCCTATCGTAATCTCACCACAAAACAGACCCGTAATACAAGAAGTGACTACAGTACCTAAGAGATGTACCTATCGTACACTTCTTACAGAAACCGAGTGCTCCCAAGTCAAGTATGCGATAGTGATTTGTATTTGTATACAAAGTGATTGTATTGCTATTTTATGCAATATATGCTATTTTAAAGCATACGCAGATTAAAGCTGTATTACGTCTGCCAAAGGGTTGAGAAATTTCCCTCTCAATTCGAAAACGGTCGTAATACTTTTTCATAAAACAGTCACCCTAGAGTTTGAGTTTTTTCAATGCTTTTGAATGAAAAGAAATTGCGACTTTCATCCAAGCAGCTGCACTCACTTTTGTACAAATTTCTCATCGTAAAAGGTCAATCATTTCCGATACGACATTGATTTTCGTACCTAAAATCCTTTAAAATCCCACTTGTAACTTTGCAGATTTTAGCATACAGCAACTTTGTGTTATTTATAGAAACGATGTCTCAACGCTACAATAAAACACCCCCGCTCTTGCCATCTATGGAAAAGAAATACATAAAACTTTGAGGAGTTGCGTCACGCTGAAAAACATTATCTTGGCCTTTTTTCGCGTAAATCTTTTTTTGTTGATGAAGATGATTCATAGAGAATCTCGATCCTCTTTTCCTGAGCTTCACCTCTTCTTTTCTTTTCACACACGCATCTGTTTGCTTTCGCGCAAAACGGTAAGTGAAAGAGGGACGGCGCCACCGCTCTTTTTTTCGATTGTAGGCTGAGAAAAGTCCATTCTATATTTTCATTTACCTTACTCTTTTTACGCTTCTTCACCAACCGTCTGTATAAATATGATAACAATGGACTTTCATCAACGTTTTCATCATCGGGAATTCATTTCAAAATTCCTTTTGATTCACTGAAATACTGTAACTCTAAACTTTTTGATCTAACATATCTCTGCCGATAACTGTAGCTCTAAATGTTTTTAAATGCTTTAAAAGCATTTATGCTAGCAATGTCTAGCATAAATGACATTGCTTTATTTCTAGCAATGTCTCATTCATGATTTCTTAGTCTTGTTAACGGCTCGTTTGCATATAATTGGCTCGCACTTTTTCGATAGTTTAGGTAAACAGGAGATGACCTTAAATCCAATGTTTTATGTTTGAGAACCTCAAACAATCAAAAAAACGGCAATTTGTACTAAAAGACAAAATGAAATCGGAAAGAAAAATTTTACAACTCTCTAAAAATCGCCAACTTTTCCTACAGTAGTCGTTTTCTATTGTGCACCAAAACCCGTTAAAATAAAGCAGTTTCAAGATTCTCCCCGCAAACAAATTTTCTGTTGTTTCATTTGAAACATGTTTCATTTTTTGTCCCAGCCTCTCCATTCGTTTCATTTGTGGCAAGTTTATGGTCCTAAATTGCTCTCCTTTTACTGTTGCTGATATACAAAGAGACACCCGCGCACCATTCTTTCACTCTTTTCACAGTGCCCATTTTCATTTGCTTAATCCCCCACTCATCGTTTACTTGATTTACATAAAAATCCGTGTTATCGTCAAGGTGAATGGTTATGAACTGTTCAGATATTGTATTTTTCTCTCAACAAGCAACAATTTTAAATTAAAACCATCATTTTGCTTGGAAAGTTGAGAAAATGAGCTAAATTTTGTTGAAACCATTACAAAAATACTCTTCAAGCTTCCCTCAGCGCCTTGTCGTTTCCGAGTTTTTTTTCGCTGGTGTGCATCATTGTCGAGTCACCATTTACCGCTTTCTGATCTTTTTTGTAGTAATTGTCGTTTACTTTTTTATCGTTTCATTGGGTTTTCACTTTTAGTTGCCAATATGCGTTTCCGAAGGCAGCTTGAAGAAATTACATCAGCGGAAGGCATGAATTCGATTGCGTTAAGATGTGAAGTGAGTTTCGCTTCTAAAGTTTGATTTTAATTTTGATTTTAAAAGTTTGATTTTAGGAAATGATCTGTTACAACGGTGGAGAATGTATACGAATAAAGTCGACTTTTGGTGGACATATTGAAATGTGCAAGTAAGTTTTCCGTCTTTAGATGGTTTCAAAAAAATTTCCTTTTAGATGTGCTCTCGGCTTTGAGGGTCAACATTGTGAAGACGCGTTCGACATAAATCGCCATACTGGAAACGTCGCCCCTTTTACACAAGTGGTATATTACTTTTTCTCTTTACGCTTGAATCAGTAAACCATTTCTAAACCACAAAGTAAACCATTTCTATAGCCGGAGTATTTCCCGACGACAACCACTGAGTTTCCATTTGAAACACCTACTACCGATACGGCGTTGCCTGGTTCGCAAGAGGTTGTTTGTGTGTCACAAACTGCCACATGCACAAATTAAACCACTTGCACTTTTATGACTAACATTTCCCTCACGTTTCATATGCCAATTAGCACTACAACAAACCCTCTTTCCTTGCAGTCAATATTTGCGGTTTGTCTTATCTTGCAGTCAGTACTGAATTTTTGTTGAAGATTAGTAGAAATCGCAAATTTTGACAAATTGCAAAGGTCTATTATGAAAAATAAAATATTTTTTAGATCTATGAGACGGTTTCCTATTCGGCCTTTAGTTTCTTTGTGTGTATGGCTTTCGTCACTGTTTTAGTTGCAGTTTACGCATATCGAAGGTTTGTTTTTACATGTTCATTGGTCTCATAAAATGTTTCCTCCCTTAAAATATACTAGTTTTTGTTCGTATTGTACAGGGTCTCTCGTCAGATGGTCAACGAGTCATTTATGTGGTGGGAGAAATCTTTTGATTCATCCGGCACAAAATCTTCACCTGGAACCTCATTTTATCTCCAACGCTCAGGAGTAGGTTGTTTTTAGCCTTTTTTGCTACAAATTTTCTTTTTAGGGAATCAGAAGCCCACTTAATAGGACCAATGAGTCTTTTGCCAGTGACGTCGTTAGTCGAGTACCAGAGTCCTTCTTTCGAAAACAGGTAGATATTTTTGAGTCCTACCAAATCAAAAGATTAAGTCCTACCAAAGATTTTAGTCAATGCTCCAACAAGATCGTTTACTCGGCTCCGCCAACAGAAGCATGGCTTCCCGAATTTCAGACTCAGATACAAGTCGACAAGTAATATTTGATAATTTATTTTTTTAAAAAAGCACTTCACCCCTGCTGTTTAAAATTTATCACGTGGATGCATTGGAAACGGTGTTTATTTTTAGGTCGCCCAATCGGCTAATTTGGAGGGAGTTTCCACCTCAACACCTGGGCGATCGGATTTGGTCAAAGTCCCCGTTTTTCATTTGCCAACTAGCCAATTATGACGTGTCATGATGTTCATCCAGTTCTAGCCTATGCAACAACAATGACTGTGATCGGTCTTCATATCTATTTACGTGTTTGTGTATTTTGTTACCGCTTTGAATAATTTCTACATATGTAATTAATTAATATCCTTTTCTGTGACATTATGCTTGTAAAATTGAAAACTTGTGAGTGGTATCGTTTTTTGTTTCCACTTTTTTTCAATTTGTTCATCTCTCTTGATTCGATCGTGAACATATTCAGTGCAAAATTTATGCTTGTGTTTCTCTAAAGTGCTCTATACTAACGAAACGGGTAAGAATCTTCATGCGTGTATCTGAGAGAAGACGGTTTTAATAAAGAATTCTATAAACCCAGCTTTTATATCCCTGCAACGACTAATTACCAAACATTGGAGTTTTTTATTGCAGTTCCGTAGCTATACAGTGGCTATAAGTTTATTATCCATATAAAGCACATAAAAGTTAGACTTCATTTTCCATTTGCTTGGCCGTATCGTCTATGTCGTACTAAAAAAAGATATTTTCAGCACATAATCGCCGATTTGATACCTTGCTTTCTACCGAGCTTGCGGTGTATCTACTCTCGGCAAATTGAGCGAGTGGTGATTTGATCCTGGTAAGGGCAAGATCGTTAACCAGTACTAACTAGTAATCACTTACTCCACTTTTGTCTTTGTCTTATCTTTCTGTTGGCTCATTTTCTTTCCTAAAGAATAAGGCTTGATGCACAATACCATAATCAATCACCAACCTAAGTATCGATTTAAAATGCAGGCAACCATGGCATCTCCATAAGTGTTATTGACAGTACGACACCGGTCCCTAAAAGTTAGATATTTTCATAAATACAAAACAAGCATAAAAAATTTAACGATAAAGGACTTACAAAATCCATTCAAGTGGCAGAATCAATGATATATCGCGAACATCTTGACCAATAGCGGTTAGAACAGCGACCATCGTGAAAATTGATGATGAAGGCACACCGGCGGCTCCCACGGCTGCGATAGTTGACGTAATCCTACAATGTTCGACGTAAATTTAAACCAAAAAGTTTGCACATACCAAACAACCAAGTACTCCGTGAAACTTAAGTGAGCACCATTTAGTTGCGCGATAAAGATCGAGGAAATAGCAATATGAACGGCGGTTCCATTCTAAAACATTCTATGAAGTTGCTTCAAACGGAATTCACCATGTTAACTGTAGCTCCGACTGGTAGAACAACTTGAGAAATTGCTTTGACGACGCCCATGTTCTTTTCTATGCATTCCATGTTGACGGGCAATGTTGCCATGCTAAATTATATAAATGATTTAAATGACAGAAAAACTACCTAGATGATGTTCCAGCTGCCAAAGCCAAAGCCTTCGCTTGTGAAAATAGAAGCTCGAACGGATTTCTCCAGGCTAGCACCGTGTAAATCACGTTTTGCATAATAAAGACTAACAGCTGACACAACAATGAAACCATCAAATATAATCCTAAACAAAGGATACTAAATCAAGCAAATACACAATACCTAGCATCTTGGCGGTTGTGGCAAAGTCGTGAATGTCGATAATTTTGTCGGCGATCAAGTAAATAAGACCAAATGGAGTATACCAAATGACAAGCATCGTCTAAACTTTTTTACATTTAGGCATAAAAAGTTGATTTTACAATTAGACCAATTGCTCTATCCGCCACATTCATCACGTCCATTAGTGGTTTTGCGTCTTCACCAAGATATGAAAGCTAAAAAGAGAAAAGAAATTAACTATCCCCTTAAAATCTACAGCTCACCGTCCCTCCAAACACCATTGCAAACAGCACGAGTCCTAAATATTAAATATCAAAAAATCTTTTATTGCCAAAATACCCATAATGTTACTTCCATTCGCCCTTTCAATTTTCACTTCAGTTTTCGTCACATTTGCGGCTTTAAAAAAATCCAATAAATAAAGGTACAAAAAGAGACTCTACCATTTGTTTTATTCGTGTATTTAGTCTTCGGGGAAAACAATGTTGCTTCGAACAAATTCTCGGGAAAAGCACCTCTAAACTTGAATAATTGTGTTGGTTTTTGACAGGAAAACAGCACCTCAGCAAATCTAGAAGCGTGTCAATTGTGGAAATTTTGTCCGCTTTAAAATCGCCTTTGAATGCGCCCATGGTTGTAGAAGGATTGCCGGGATTAACCAAGAAGACAGCGAGCAATCCAATCTAAAAGGCATCCGATGTGGCCTTAAAGACAGGATAAATCCTTACGCTAACTGCGATAAGCGTTGTCACAAGAAAAAGGAGCAGCGAAAGACTGCCGATGATTCCAAGTTGTTTTCTATCCATTTTGCCAACTCCTAAACAAACGAACTAGATTAATGTTGACTAATTGTGAAAAATCACCACAGATGAGAGTGATCGTGATTAAGGGAAGGACAATCATTTTGAAGAGCGACAGCAAGATTGTTCCAGGGAACCCAACCAGTCTTTTGTACTGAAAACAAGACATTAGCTATGAAAAAGTCATACCAACCTGTTCATCTAAATCCGCAGATCTTAAAGCAAAGCCCAATCCGACTCCAAGAACCACTCCACCCAATGTGGCAACAAGGAGTATGTTCTTTTTTAAAAATGAACATCTAAAAAGCAAAATACAAAAGATTTAAAAACAAAACTTACACTTGCCGCACAATAGTAGATTTGGAGGTCATCTCGGATACAGAAAAACAGAAGTGACATTATTTTTTGAAAACGCCCGCCGAAAATTTCATATTCCAAAAAGTTCATGCTAATTGAGATGTTAAATGTTAATTCGACGCAAATTGAAATAGCTCTACCAAATTTCAGAAACTTTCATTTTAGAAATCACTGCGTGGCAGCCCTTTAAAGGGCGCTACTTAATAAAAAGGCTGCCACGCGGTGATTTTTGCAAGTAAAGAGTTATTGTTTTTAGTACAAAAGAAATTTCTAAAATGAAAGTTTCTGAAATTTAGTAAAGCCATTGAAATTTGTGTAAATATCTCAACTTTTGAGTACGGTATTATAGCCGTCTGGATAACTCTCCTCGCCTCTTCGCACACTAATTGTTGCCCATGGCACAGTGCCACCGTATATTTAGAAAGGGCGCGTAGTTTATCTCGCTTTTCCCCCTTTTCATGTGTTATCCGGTTTGTTATCGCATTATTTCGCGCGATCTTGCCCTTTTTGTGAATCTTCATACATCTCTTCATTTATACACACTTTTTTTCTAGGGCGCACACACTTAATGGGCGTGACGAGGCGAATGCGATGCACGCATGACCATCGATGCCTCAACTGCCAAGACTATTGCTAAATCTACGTCGACGGATGTTTTTGCGTCAAAAAACGCTATTCTCTGTAATTATGATCATTGCTTCGCTTATTATATTAAGTAAGCAACTTTTTTCAGCAACTATTTCATGTTATGAATTTAGCCTTTACTCTGCACATTGGGGATGGAGGTTCGCACGAGGGACCCGCCAAGCTACAAAAACAAAGTCAACCCGGGAACATGAATGTGAATGTTGAGCAACCAGGAAAATTGTATGGCTTTTTGTCTTTTTATATTTAATCGCATTTGATACAGCGAGCGGTTTGTCGCCGAAAGTGATCTGATGAAAGATGACGAAAATGGGCAAAAAGCTAGCGAAGTTGAGAGCAATCTGAAAGACGTCGGAGATGAAGAAGAAAGTCTCAGGTAGCATCAACTTATGTTTTATTGTTTTTAAATTTTAAATTTAGAAACATTGGAACGCCGAACATGGAGGTTATTTCAACTAGAATTGAGGCACTCGAGAAACAGATAGCCAATCTTAATGCCCAACTCGTTATTCAGCAAAGATTGACGTTGGTTTTAGGTCCGATTTTATTTAAGCTTTTTTTTCTTTCAGAAATTTTACCAAAACGTTTCCGCCTGTCAAATTTCGCGACGAACGTACTCGGAAAAGAATACTTATCACTGGCGGCTGTGGGTTTGTCGGATCACATTTGGTTGATAAATTAATGGCTGATGGTCATGAGGTTTTGTTTAGACAACATAAGCAAAAAAATATCTTACTTTAGGTCCTTGCACTCGACAATTATTTTACCGGACGAAAAAGAAATGTCGAACATTGGATCGGACACCCAAACTTTGAACTGGTGCATCACGACGTCGTGAATCCTTACTTTGTTGAAGGTATTAATGCAATTAAAGCCTCTGGAATGAGCATCAGGATTAAAATTCAAATTTAGTTGATCAGATTTATCATCTCGCTTCGCCTGCATCACCGCCACATTATATGTACAATCCTGTGAAGACAATTAAGACAAACACAATTGGGACTATCAATATGCTCGGATTAGCAAAGTTGGCAGCTTTTTCTATATAAATTTATTTTTTTAGGAGAGTCAAAGCGACAATGTTACTTGCTTCGACATCGGAGATTTATGGTGACCCCGAAGTGAGTTAGATATTAGATAGTTAGATGAGTAAGCGCACGCTATTGCTTTTAGGTTCATCCACAACCTGAAGAATACTGGGGTCATGTGAATACTATTGGTCCTCGTTCGTGCTATGATGAAGGGAAACGAGTTGCCGAAAGTTTAATGGTCGCTTATCACAAGCAGGTAAAAATTTTAAGCGTTTTCTCTCATAAAAAAAATGGAGCACCACTTTCACCCCATCCCACACGATAAGATCTTTGTTCTTGGTCGTGGGCTCGATTTCCATCGTTGACCTTAATTCGAATTTAGGAGAATGTTTCAATACGGATTGCAAGAATTTTCAATACGTTTGGACCAAGAATGCATATGAATGATGGACGTGTAGTTAGCAATTTTATCATACAAGCCTTACAAAAGCAGCCCATTACGGTATAGCGGATTACCAAAAATAAAATCTTGATTCTCTTCAGATTTATGGTGATGGTGGACAAACTCGTTCATTTCAATATGTTTCCGATTTGGTTGAAGGCCTAATAGCATTGATGGAAAGTGATAGTTTTATTCCTGTTAACCTTGGCAATCCAGAGGAACACACAATAAGGCATTTTGCTGAGATTATCAGGGATTTAGTAGGTATGGGCGGACCATTGTAGTATTTGATAAAATTTTGCCTTTAGATAGCGAAAGTCAAATAGTACACATGGATGCCCAACCTGACGATCCTCATCAAAGGAAACCGGATATTCGGAGAGCTGATAAACTTCTAAAATGGAAACCAAAGGTGTTTGTCGTTTTTATATCTTTTAAAGTCTTTTTTCAGGTTTCAATGCGTGAAGGTTTGCAAAAGACGATTGAGTATTTCCGAGGCCAGTTGGCAAGCGGGGGACGTTTAGAGCGAGTAACGCAGGCTGATCAATCTCCCCCGGCTGCTGCTTAGTTTTTCTAGTATGTTTTTCAATTGCATTTTTTGATTTATGGCACATTTTTGATCCGGCAAAATTTCTTGCGTTTATCCTCCTCACCTGCAATTATTTTCGTTGATTTGTTCCTAGGTTTTTTTTTGATAGACTAGTCGTTCCTTTGGTAATATGAGATTTCCCAAGCATAATTGAATGTATTTTCTGTGATATCATTATTCTTGCCTTTTGTCATTTTAGTGTGTGATTGATTTGATTGATTTATTGCTTTAAATAAACCATTATTTCCATTTGTAGACTAAGGTTATTGTAGTAAGGCATTTTAAATACATGAACTACCCACAAGAGATAAAGAATTTGTTATGATTTATCGGACGACAGTGACTATTTTGAGCTACTTAACTTTTTTTGCAACTTGAAGTCCAATTTACATTTTATTTTTAGGGCTGGACCATACACCAAAAAGACCGCGGAATTCGCTTCCTGGCGTAAGGCCCCCTCAGGGTGGTGTTGTCGTCTCTAAACCTCTATTCGTCGTGAAACCTGACAACGGCCGTGCAAATCCTCCAAGGTCTCATCCACCGCAACAACCTCCAATGAAGAGCAATATTTCCAGTCGAGGTGATGGATACGACTCGTTTGACGACGATGACATTAGACCCGGGCCTTCTGAATACATCAGTAAGCCATACTCTATTTACGTTTCTAAATGTTTTAGAAACCCAGCAACAAGAGCTCACTCAAATACCGGATTCACAACCCAAATGCAATACTCCCCGTCGACGACAAGATGAATCTGATAGTAAAGTCTCGCATCTGGTCTCGTGTCAGCTTCTGAAAAATCGCTTACACAATGAACAAAGAGAAAAAGAAAAGGTCGAATACTTTAGTTGACCGTAATATATTTTCTATATTTTTTAGGTTGAACGCCAACGAAATGAACTCTCGGCACAACTAATGAAAGCAGATCGGGAGAAAAGGGAGGAGATAGACAGAGTCAAGAAAGCCTATGAAGCTAAAATTCAAACGATGGATAACACGATTCGGGTGCATTTTCTATTATTGGCTGTTTGATTATGATCTTTCAGGAATTACGATTTGATGAGTCGAGAGTAGACATAACAATTGCTAGCCAAATGCATGCTGAAGATCCAGACACGGTAAGATTTTAATCAATTACAGTTTCACTTCTGTTAAAACCTCATCTTATTATGATATAATTTTATGCCTAATAGATTTAGCTTTTTCAGATTGATTGCACTGCTCTAGAACCTCGAATGCGGTTTGCTTCACCAGCTGTTCATTCTAAAAAGGTATGATTTCACCGCTCATCATAAACTGTGATATTGTTTAGGCAACAGCAGTACCACAACGATCGGGTCCAGAACTGTTTAAAGCACAGCGAAATGCGATGGCGGCAATGAATAATCTCAACAGTGCTAAACCTATTATTAAACAGGCACGCATTTTTCCGTTATTTTTTGAACTAATACTGATTTTAAAAATTAGAGTGAAAAAGCTTTTTGTTGATCAGTCTGAACATTTTAGAAATTGGCTCAAACTGGGCCTGAAAGATTGCAGCAGAGAATCAATGCAAACGCAGCCGCCGCCGCCATGAAAGCACAGTCACCGCCCGCTAAACGACCGCCAATGCAACCTCAATCAGTGTTGAATGTTTCAAAACCTCAACATGCAGCAACCACACATTACGATAATGCGAAACCTCAACAGGACTTCATGTTGGGTTTGTTGCTAATTTGCATGATTTTTAAAGATAATTTAGACTCTCAAACACAGCAACATCATCATCGAGTTACATTTCAATTGCCTCCTGAAGCTTCTGGTGAGATGGCTTCACCTGTTACGACAACCTCAGCACCTGTAAAACAATGTGTTAAGAAAAAGCGGGTAATTTATTCTTTTTTTATAACTTACTTGTTCGATTTAGAAAAAGCCGATCCTGAAATCGAGGAGCGATGTAAAAACGTTGCTCGCTTGCTTGAAAATCCGAAAAAATCCACGTGTGTTGAATTTTGCGAATATCTGTCCACAAAAAGGCGCCATACTTCTCCAGGTACGTTAATTTCTATCTTTTTTAAAGCAAAGTTACACTAATATTTTTGTTTTAGAAAGTAACAGAAATAACGGAGGTCGAATGGACAGAAGTGCCAGAAGAGGAGGCACAAGGAGAGGAGTCAAACGATTCAACGAATTCGAAATGTCGAAAAGATTCAAAGGATCCGAAAAAGTTGGTTAATGAAAAGAAAAATAAACCGTGAAAATGATTGTATATGTTTTGAATTTTTTTGTTCTTTGTTTGTTTTATTTACTGGTGCTAGGCTTATTATGATAAATTGTTTTCCATTTTTTATACACGTAGGCAAAGCATTTTAATCTTTTTCAACTTTGATTTATACCGCTCAACAAACGGAAGGATGTTTCCCGTGAGGATCTACACGCAAACGAGCTGAGGGGCTGCTCAATATTGGCCGAATTGTGTTTCTTTGGCTTTCCCCCCGCTCGTCCCGCATGACAAACGCACCAAATGAGGCGGATTCCTTCCGATAGGAAGTGGTGTCGGCGGAGAAGAAGGTGGCACCACACGCGATACATCCATTCACTTGCTACCGTAATCTAAACGACTCCCGGAGTTGAGAACCACCTACATAAATTTTTCATGGCAGTAAAAAGATAAACTTGACTTTGTTTTACGCAGCTTTGGCCCTTTCCAGTTTTACCGACAAATTTGCATTAAAAAACAACGATTGTGCATGCAAAATCAAGATTTACGGTGACTTACGTAGACACAAATTCCCATACTAATTTTGCCGTGCTTTATCCAAAAAATTTCAATTTCAAGTATACCTTCGCAAGAAAAACAAAGTAGAATGTTCTGGCGTGTATTCCCCAAGGGTTCAGCTTACCTTTGCACCTTGCCGCTAAAGATGAAAGTGGGCCGCCACGGTGATGTCGGAAAGGAAGAAATCCCTCCCCGGGGACCACATTCACCCCATTCACCCCCCACATTTTGCACCACCAACCATCCACCCATAAAGTGCGATTGCTGCTCGTTATTAGAGAAGACACTTTCTCGGGAAGGGAAGCGGATCTCCCCTCCCACTAAAGGCTGATTTATGCGTGTTGCAATTCTTCTCGATACACAAATGAACCTTCGTTTCCGGATATTTCACGATAATCGCTCGAATTTTGTTATTTAAAAGATCAGGCAATAAGATAAACTGACTAATGAGTGCACATGAGCCAGCAATTGAAAGTACTTTTCAACTTGTCAACAGTACGCTGATTACCTTCAAAATGACGAAAGTATGTCAACTTTTAAGAAATACCGTATTATTCAGGTTTATTCAATTCAAGATGTGTTGGGTGAGGGTTTCTAAGGACACCAAAAGCTGTAGAAATTGAGAAATTTTGAATAAGAACCTGGGGCCCAAATACGGTAGTTTTCGAGACCTGAAACGTTTTAGAAAACGCGTTACTTGCTAGAATTACAGTAATTATGTTAAACCCTGTTTTGTTAAAATTCAAGTTCACAATCATTTTGCTGAAGTTGACCCCCGAAATCGTTGTTGCTTGTGGGGATTGTTGAGTGGCAAATGGATGCGAAGCGGGGGTTGAGAGAATCCCGGAAAAGCACAAAAAGGAGAAGAAGAGATGCGGCTCTGTCGCTCTCGTTACATCTCCCTTGGGGCGTTTCCGGTGCGAATGAATTGCCGGGTCAGAAGTCTCTCTCTGCTTTGACACAAAAGAAAAGAAGAAGAAGAAGTTGATTCGAGGAGATGTGTGCCAAAGAAGAAAGAAAGCTGTCAGAGCTCTCTTCAACCAGAATCCCCCACCTCTCACCTAAGCACCTCAACTCGTGCACCAAGTCTCCCGGGAAATTTTTGTGTCCTCTTTTAGCCTACTCGGTTTCCAACTTGATTACCCACTTCTAAAACTTGGGGAAATCTCTACTGCATGAATTTGATCAGCGATAAGCTCGTTGTGAATCGGGTCGAGTAGATAACGAGTAGCTTGATGAGCCATTGAGCAAGAGCATGTTTAACTCCTTATGATTCAATTTCTCAAAGACCTTGCAATTTCTGGGACAATTTGTCGTACTATAGTACGCTGATACCACTAATACAGTACAAATATAAAACTACAGTCTATACAGTATGATGAATAAGAATTCTAGGTTCCCAGTCTCTTATCGCACTACAGTATGCCGATAGGAAGCCTACAGTCAGTCGCTACAGTATGCCGAATACTGTAACGACTGTAGGTCAGGATTCCTAGTTACAGTACAATGTATCCATAATGGAATACAAAGTCTGAACATTACAAGGAAAAGAAAACATCAGGATGTGGCCAAATGAGATAAGCCATAGACCATTCGACGCAGAATTTCACACTGATTCCGAATCTGCTTTCCGCTTTAGCAAAATAGCTCTCTATAAAAAAAATTATACGTGTTTTAAGTTTTAGAGTGAAAATGCGAAAATTTGTAGCCGAATAGGAATGCCTTTATAGGGGGTTCACTCACGGATCACAAACATGGCTTGATGGTGTAGTGGATAAAACGCTCGCATACAAAACGAGCGCTGCATTCTTTGCTCGAGTTCGTTCCCTATTGGCGAAACTTTTGTTTTTCTTTTTGGTATTTTAGCACCCAAATTTTGTTTGGCCTTAAAACTAGGTTAAGATATTCAGTTTTATCTGCTTGTCATACTGTAGAGATATGAAACTTCTTTACTGTACCAAAATACAGAGCTACAAATCCATCTTTACATTCAATTTTTTTTTGCAATTTCCCCAGAAAACCCTCTCTTCTTGATCACATCTGCTCACTCCTTCTTCTTCGATATATTTGTTTACAATTTGTCCCCTGTCTGTTCAATAAGATCCCCGGACAGCTTAGCGAGAGTGGAGGATGTAACTGTATCCCATCATGTTTTATCCGGAAAGGAGAGATTGTCGAAGAGCCTATCAACAGAGCCCCCCTTGGACTCCTCAATTCCCTTGGAAAAGAAGGGGGTACACGTGCAGTCAGGTCAAGGGTTTCACATCTGGTGTGCGCTGGATTGAGCTCTTCTCTTTGCTCCCCATTCTTTCGTCGAACACTTTTCTTCCTACACTCACCTTAATTGGCTCATTGGGATGATCTATTGACCCCATGAAGGAGAATCATTGAGTGACAAAGAACTCGAGCACACAATACACGAAAAACTCGGCGCTAATGTGACGTGATTGAGAAATGAGGCTAAAGGTGGTTTATTCAAGGTAGCTTTAGCTAGAGTTTACTAGTCAATAAGTACAGTGATCAAACTTGTAATCAAAACCCTAAGCAAATCGATAAGCCCAAACGTTTACTCTAAATGTCAGTGCAAAGATTTTGCTCTCATTGTTCATTGATAGAATATGAAAGTCCAAAAATTGAGCTAAAGTTGGCTTGGCTTAGCTTGGCTTAGCTTCGCTTAGCTTAGCTTAGCGTAGCTTGGTTTAACTTAGCTGGTTTAGCTTAGCAAATCTAGTTAGCAAAATTCCCTGAAAAGCGGAGATTTTCAAAATAACGACAAGACAATTCATTTGTTTCGAAAGGAAGAAAGCTGGAAGAGAGGTGATTGCGTGACGGTAGACGAGCGCATCACTGAATCCATCATTGAGAAGTGAATGCATGGGAGACAGTCTGAAAGGAAAGGGAAAGAAAGAAAGAATTGACCCCTTTCCATCCATTTCTTTCATTTATTTCTTTTCCATCTTTCTTAAGCCACTTCTCATTAGGTGTGCCGCGAATTTATTAGAACATAAATATGCAAATGTGATCCTGAAGCAAGGGGATGAACGGGTGGGCAAGATGGGGCTTTTCCACACAAAATGGGACATTGTGGGGAGTGGATGAATGGGAGAATTGGAAGAGAGGATCTTTTCTTTCTTCTTCTTCTTCTTCTTCTCTTTTTAAATCTTCTCCTCATGTATCTATTCAGATTTACAGCTGCTTTGTCTAAAAGGAGAATCACAGGCAAAATCGGTGCAAGCGCTGATGCTAGAGATTAACAAGTTAACATTTTTTTTTGATTAGACTCACAGCAAAACCACTGAAACAGATATAGACAGACAAAAATGCAAATTGAAAATAGGTGAATATCGACAAGGCTCACCAGAATACTCACTGGAACAAACTTTTTGTAGAGCTACGAAATTTGGGTAGAGATTTTGGCTTACTAACAATATGTTTCAGAACGAAATTCCTACATATGTAGATTTTGAAAAGTTAAGCATAATTCTGATAGCTATATATTTAAATTTGGCTTACTACGTTGATATATCTTTGCTATAAGTTTATTAGGTTTGTCTTTGTAAGTTTTCCGTGTTTGTCTTTTCCAAAGCCTTTCTTTTTTTTTGTTTTTATTCGAAGTCGATCTCTAAAAAAACCGTGTAACCATGGATTCCCGGATTTCTACGCTTGATTTTGCGAAAATTTCAAATTTTCAAAATGATTCTCGAGATTTTGTTTTTAAAATTTGTCCTATTCGGGGATAAAGTGCTGGGTGATAGTGGCGAGAAAATCGTTTGTTGCCACAACACGTCACTGCCACCGTATCAGGTAAAAGATTGGGTAAATTAGGCAATACAGTAAAGTCACATATTTTCTGTTATCTGAGGAGTTAGATAAATTTTTGAAAATCTTAGCCAAATGTTTATCTGTGCGATACGACGTCGACTTGTTGTCAATATCGAGGGCAACCAGCTTGTTGCTTGGCTGATGTACAATTTTGGGCACTGTGAGTTCTGAAATTGGATCTTGATTTAAGTCTTTAACTTTAAAAGATATAACACTAAGTTCATTGATGAGCTTGGTATATGGAAAACTTTGATACACTGCTCCTTATCTTGCTTGCTATAGCAATTGCACTAAAAATTATTGGAAATGACTTCTAGGCTTCAGGAGACAATGAGTACAGTGTCCTTATTGTTTACTAAATGATGAATAATTTGAAAAACTACCGTAACCTTTCAGGCTTAGGTCTTTTCTACTTAATTTTGATCTCAAAAGCATTGCACATGTGGAGCAGACTTTTCCCTTAACTCCAGCCATCCATTAGAAAATAGCACAGAAGTTAGCTCTATAACCCTGTATTTTATGGAACTAACTGTTAATGCTTGGCATCCGAATATTGGCATCAATTTGTCTCATACCAGAAATGGCGATGAACTGTTTGCTCGTGTAATTAATTGGGTGCAATTGGGGGTGATTGGGATGGTCCTCCCATTTCATCCTCGAAAAGGAGATCGTGTTTCTTCGATGAGATCCCCTCCTCTTCTCTCTTCCCCATTTCTCTCCCAGATCCGATTAACATCGATTACGCTTTATCCGACGCATATGGTCCCCTCCTCGTGGAATGAAGTAGGACACCCTCCTCTCTTTCCCATCCATTTCACTAGTACTCCTTAAAAATTATCGGTCAAACGGTCACCTAGATGTGTCCGGTTACAAGCAAAAGAACATAAGTGATCTGTCACAAGAGTTCACCGGTTACTATAGAAAAAATAGGGTCAACTTTTAGAATGCAACAAGCGATCCCTTTCGCCTTGTTGACCTTCATCTGTCTCGGCATCGCACTCTGCATCCATGTCAGTTGAAAAATCAGAAATCTACCGTATTTCTTCGAATAGAAGACCGGGTAAAGAGTATCATCGCGTACTCCTGCGTAGCAGCCCTTTTTAAAATTTCTTTTCTGCATAAAAGCTTTCAATGAAGTGCTATAGGGCTGGAAAATGACTCAAAAATACCACATGAGCTAACAGATTTTTGAGCCATTTTCCAGCTCTATAGCACTTGATTGAAAGTCTTTATGCAGAAAAGAAATTTTAAATCATCGCGTACTCCTGCTACGCAGGAGTACGCGATGATACTCTTTACCCGGTCTTCTATTCGAAGAAATACGGTAACTCTAAATCTAGTGGTACTTCAACGATCAAGATCCGGATTTTGAGGAGAACCTCTTCGACTTCAGCGGTCAAAAGGAGCAAGCGAACACGTGACTTTAAATGATTTGTCTATATCTGAAAGTTTTAGCTTTGCATTCCCGCCGCTTGGCGAGAATTTGGTGGCAGATCCGATCTTCGGCAATGTTTATTATGAGGAAACACTAAAGTAAGACTTAAAGCAGCTTATAGAAAACTTATTGCTAAATGTTAAGTTACTAATAAATGTTGTAAATAATCTTAATGCAATCTTCATTTCTAGATACGCAAATGCCTCAAATATCTCCAACAACTTTGGCTATTTCGATCAAGATTTCAACGATGACAAGAAATTCCACTAACAAATGAGAATGTCAAATTTCCCTTAATAAATATCTGTTTCTTTTTCTAAATTACGATGACCCTAGGGTTGGGCAGAAGGTGACGATAATCGTATTATTCTCGCCCACCCCAGGGGATCATCTCATCCCCCAAAGAGTGAGATCCCAGGTGGTGACCGCTCTCTGATTATGCGATGAGCACACAAAACAAACAAAAACACCGCCTGACAGACGGAGCAAGAACGGGATTGTCACCTTGAATTGAAGAAAATCCCTAGAGAGCTGAATGAAAAGAGACACCGCCAAGACCTGCGAATCTGCCACTTGAATATGGACATTGAAGAGATTAGAGATGTGTCTTCGGCCTTTCGCGGGAGCACTTCTCGGCTGGAAGCAAGACGGATCAGCCAGGCGGTACCTTTGTCTTTTCCATGAGAGACTCAAAGGTCGGATTTCTTCTCCCCTCGGTCAAGTGGTCATCCTTTTACGGCTATCCGTTACCGCACAGTGAAGCAGCGAGAAATGGATTCATTTGGGTGAATTGTTAAGAAATTGCGCCTTACAACTGATGTGTTTTTTCCATGAAGATCAAACTATAGAGATCTAGCCCGCGTTACGGTAGTTTCTTTAGATCAAAAGTCAATACATTGGATCAAAACTGACCAAGTAACATCTCAAAGCCTCATCTCATCAAAAACTTGAGCTTAAAAGTGAGCGAGTACTGTGTGTTGTGTGATTGTTGAGTGCCGGGCATAATGGTTTACACCAGATGTGTGAACGTGGAGGGGAAAGAGTTCAAAAGAAAAACGAGGATAAAAGAGAGGTTGTATCCAGCTCTCCTTAGTATCCAAGCCCATCACCCGCAAACAATGGGGTGTCCCTATCATAAACTGTGTATGCTTTGCCTCAAGCCGCCGCCCCTTTAGGGCCAAGATAGGTGGGGAGTGAATGGGAGATGAGACAACACATGGATGGGGGATACTCCTTTCAAGAGGCAATCCAAGTACCCTCCGGGGGCCCATAGAAAAGCTTCCATCCCATACATGGTGGCTCTCTTTCCTCAGTTACCCATTCCACTCCCCTATCTCAAACCTTTACCCGTTTGAACTTACAAAGAAATATTGGAAAATGGTTTATCCTCTTGATACTATTGGCTTAAGTATTGAAATAATAAGTAATGAAAATTTAAAAATTTGATATAATCCTGTTATATCCTTACAAAAAGGAGAACCTACATAACTCGGATGACTTTTTTTATTTGGATTATATGGAAACTTTAGAATGCGTAGCCTAAATATGACTTACTATGACTTGCAAGTAAAGTGAGTAAAGCTTTTTATTGTAAGAAAAGCTCAATTTGATTTGCTTTTAAGTTTAGAAATAGAACAAAATCGATAGTGGATACGTATTGAAAAGATTCTAACATCTTATAGTTTAATCCACAGTATACCTATTCTTATTAGAAAACTACTGCTCAATGTAGATTCTAGCCATGGCTAAAGCAACAAATTGCAAGTTTCCAAAAACTTTCAAAAACCTTCAACAAGCCAGCTTCAATCCGATTTGACATCTGTTCTCTTTGACTTTAAAACCCCGCCCCTTTCTAGAGAAACTTTCTGAAAAGTTTTTTGTTTTTCCTGAAGAAGCTGTTCATTTGTAACACCTGCCTTTTCTGGAGATTTCGTGTTGAGTCTGATTCACTTGACTACCGTATCCCTTTCCTTTTCTTTTCCCTCTCACTCAACAAAAGAACGGGTCCCAGGTGTCCGATTCGTCGATTCGATTAGTGAAAAGAAGGCTGAATTCTCCGTTTTCTTAATTTTATGAATGAGCAGAATGTGTGCTAGATTTTGATATTGATACAAATACAGATTAGTGTAAAGCTAGGTGAACACTTTGATAGCCTTCTAGTGCCTTCTACTTTCAAACTAGTTACTTTCAAACTTAAATCTTGTTTAAAAATCGACTGATTCAGCCATTTCTTTCAAAAGCCATTTAAAAGCGTACAATATTATAAATGATTACAAAAGTACTTGCTGTTTTGTGTTCTTTTTGTCAACAGTTTTATCAAAAAAAAAACCGATTTTTGTCCAAATTGAGGTACTGAATTGACAAATGTGTTTTCAGTCACCTCTTTTCCTCATTGAAACCTTTCTCTTCTCTTTTCCTGGGTAAAACTAACGACTCTTTATCCCCCGTTTTGTTTACTGTTTCATGCATTCACTGACAACATCGTCTAAATAAAATTTTGGGACACAAAATGACCTTAAAATTTTTGCTGATTCTTACAGGATTTAGCTTTAGCTAAAAAGCTCTATTTTAGCTAAAAATTTCGATTCTTTTTCAACCAAGATAACGTTAAAATTTCAAAGTTGACTTCATTTCGAGGTTTGGTAGTGATTCAGGATTTCTTTTTAGTCTTTAATTGAATATTTTTATCTGTATCATTTAAAAGTGATTCAGTTAAGGCTAAGTAAGCAAATCTCCAGTAAATGTACCCAAAAAGGATCCGGTGACTTTGATGGCAGATTCCAATAGAGCCTCGAAGTAGAAGAAGTAGAGATTACTACATATTCTCTCCAAATGTGTTGATGTCTTTCCTTTGTTCTTCCCCAATCTCTATTTCATTCTTTTCTTTTCCCTTTGTCAATGTCAACCTGAGCGGACTCGTAATGAAATCGTTGAATGTACGGGGAGGAGAGCGGTAATTTGCGAAGAGAAGGGAATCAACGGTGAAATCACATTTGGATGGACCTTCCCTCCATCGGCTGATGTCCCTTTGGGCATCAGCTTTGTTTCTCTCTTTCCTTTGTCTTTTACTCGAACTCACATTCACCTAGACAAATGCTCTAGATGAATGGAGCCATACTTACTAACATTACAATATAAAAATATTGTAAAGCTCGTAAATATGACTTGCTTAATACTGTTCCAAAGTCTTTAGTGTCCCTGTACTTTTGAAATTTCATTTACATCATTCTAAGTGATTTTTTATGTCTATTTAAAGTCTATAGTCTCAATAGTCTCAATTTTTTATCTACTTTCAACTTAGTTCAGCTTTACCGTAACTATTTGAAAGCATTCTATGATCTAAGATCTAAAGGATCAATGATCAGTCTATAATCTAAAGCATCAATCCAAGTACAAAAGTCTAAATTAAGATCACATAACAAGATCAGAATAGCCATCATAAATCGAAGATCATCAGTAGTTAGCTTTAAAGGAGATCTTTAAAAGCTTATAATTTGAACGTATCCAATTATGGCAAGCTTAAATCTGTTCCTGCTTAAGGCAAGCTTAAATCTGTTCCTTTGTATTCAAGTCACAACTTTCTATCTCCATTGTAAGCCCTTTCTTTCAGTTACTCAATCTGGTCGATGCTCCTCTTCTCTCTTTCAACTCCTCCCCAAATATCAGTGTGGCACCTGTACCTGCCTTTGCTTTTGAGGCAGAGAAGTGGTTGTAATCCACCTTGTCCCCTATCAATTATGTGATCTTGTCCGATCTCTCCTTTTCCTTTTATCAAAGAGAGATCATCCACCTGTCCATTTTGTCCCTTTTCTCTTTATTGTTTTTGAGAGACATCCCATTCTCATAAATAACCTAACTTTTCTTGTCTTTCAAGTTTCCATCATATGAACTTTTATTGTTTTGTTATCTTTTGTGATTTATGAGCGGCTTTCAACAAGTGCTAAGTGCTTGTCACATCTCTACGGTAACTCAAGGTTTTGTTGATTTGAGTGAAACGGAGTTGAGAAGTTGAGAAGTTGAGCTCGAATTGACCATTCAATATTTAGGCTGTATTCATCTTTTAAAATAATTTCATTTCAGGTTTTCATTTTCTTGTAATCAAAATGTTCAAAATCCAGAAGTAGCCTAGTACTATTAGATAATCAAATTGCTATAGATTTAATGCTTTGTTTTAAAATCGATTCCCAAGTCTTCATCAAAGGGAAAGCTTGACAAGCCCCTGGAAGGCGGTGTGATCTTTGAAGAGAGAAATGACACGAAAATTACTCTACCTGACATCAATCCCATATCTCCATTTCAATCTTTCTTAAACCCAATTATGCCATCAGGTAGAGCACAGCTTTATCCTCTCTTCAATCAAAAAAATCTTGCCATTTTTAAAAAATCTTTTAGACTAATTCCTATAACAAAGTGCTTTTTGTGTGCCAGAACGAGTGCGCTTACGTTTCTAAAATCACAAAGTCCACATTAAATTTGAATTCAAATTGAATTTGGATACCCGGATAACTTTCATAGCTTTTTTGGTTTATCAAAGAATCGATCAACTTCTGCATTAAGAGTAACTAGTTTTTGAATTTAAAACTTTACTACTTCTCCACTTTCTGATTATTTTTACTTATCGAGATAGCTTTTCCAACTTCATAACCCCAATCTGAGGTGTATAAGATGAAAAGAAACGCCTCTTTGCAACGCGTCCGTGACAACCGTTCTAACAATTCATTACTCTTTTTTGGAAAAAGAGGAAAAAACCTCGACTAGAGTCTCTTCAGACATCAACAATTGCGAAAGATTTACCTTTTCTTTTATCCAAATCTCTTTTTAGATATCTTCTGGTTATTTTGGGTTTTGATCTAATACTTTAGCTCTTGGTGGTTAAGAAAATCTCAAAGTCTAGAGAAATTTTTATTCAGTTACAGTGTAACAGTCTTGATATAAAGCTAGATACTAAAAAAATCTTGTAAAAGTTAAAATTAAAGCTGTGAAAGCTTTATTGCTTTTATTGCTTTTAAGTCTTGATCTCCTGAATCATTGCTACAAGTTTCACCGTATTATTTTCCGCCTTATAACTTTCCACATTGTTCAATAAGGTAAAGGACAAGCGCAGGGATGAACTCATTCAATGTCCTATATCCTTTTGCTCAAATAGGAGAGCTGTGATGTGTTTGCATTTCTAATTGATGCGCCCATCTTTCTGCCATGTTTTCTTTTCTCTTTCCCTCATTTTGTGTTGACAAAAATGAGATGAGAGGAAAAAGATCGGGGAATAT